GTGTTGTGCTGTGTGATACATTAATCATTTGTACATATTTATATAGTATACGATCATGTATAGGTAACAAAAAAATTTAAATTTAAAAAAAGTTTTTGTAATTGCAATGTAATTTATCCTACTTTCAGCATTCGATCTAATGGTCCCAAAGAAAGGCTTTCTTTGAAATGTGTAAATTGTGAGTAGAACCAACATTTACAAAAAAGTGTTTCAGATTTACGTTAGACGTGGTAAAAGCGGATATTGCGCAAATAAATGTTCCAATTGCATTCCGCTTTTTAATAGAGAGACGTTGTGTGTTTCAAAATGAGAAAGCCCGGCATTTTCGCGTTTTCCGCTCGGAGGAGCGCCTCCAACACTCGAGATTTCCTCCCTGGCTGCCAATTAGCGTTTCCTTGTTCATTTTTCCCCGTTGGGCAACCCTTTCACGTTTCCCTCCAACGGTCCATTTTTCCGATCCCGGAGAGAATGTCCCAAGGCTAAAACTGGGATTGCGACAAAACCGCCGAGGCCGGACAAACCGCTCTTGCATATCAATTGGACTGCATAGATAAAATCATAATGCTATCAAACCCGGATCCCCCTCATTCTCTCACTTTTTATATAAGACCCGGCAGTTCTATTGGGCTGGTGCAAAAATAACGCACGTTTTGAAAAGGTAGTCAAAACTATTTTTAATTTTTATAAAATAAAAACTGTATTCGAAATATTCTCCATCACAATCTTATCTTTGCCAACGTGTAATAAGCGCTTTTATTCCGCTGACATAAAAATCTTTTTTCGACTCACAATAAAGCCTCGGAAGGCGTTTTCGGCTTCACCACGTTCTCTAAAAATTTTATCCCTCAAGAAATTATCAAAATACCTAAAACGGTGAAGTCTGTAGTCGAGAGGTCGGGTGAATCGGTGTCATTCATTTCGACCCCGAGAGCCAAACGTAATTAAAAGTGGCACATTATTCCGACCCTTCAATTGAGTAGCAAATCCCCCCCCCCCCTAGTACTCTTATCATTTAGTCATAACCCGTACTATTTATTCTGTATGAGGAGCAAGGAAAGTAAAAAAATACGAATGTGCAAAAGGTCTTATTCAAAAATAGTAATAACTTGAAGTCGTGAGGAATGGTCAAGAATGAGGTAGTATATGGCACTCGTTCGTTTTGGATGCCTTGAAGTTTTACACGAGTTTCAACTTGAATTTCTTTTACTGTAAATGTTGTGTGCTGCTTCTCTTCTAACATTCGTAACATTCAGTGCACTTTGTACTTACTGGGACAAATGACTTACGTTTTCGATGATATGGGCACTGCCGGAGGTTATTGATATCTTTCATAGTGAAATTGTAACAGTCTTGTAATGCTTGACGGATAATCTTTTTAGGGCGAAAAATTACATCCTCCACGGATTTTGATTTCAGCATGTATGTTTGACGTCGTGGTTATGTTCCCCTCCAAACTTAACAACTTCAGAACAACTATCACTGGAGGTCACACACGTTGCTCAAGTTCCAACTCTATCGCACCTCTACCTCGTACCCATCGTTAGAATTTTGTTTCACTGTGAAATTTCTAAACCGCTAAAGCTGTCCCTCGTGTCGATCTTAATAAGAGGTATTTTGTAACTGACGATCTAGGCAATTGCATTGACACTTGTAGATGTGTTTACGATACAAAACAATTACCGGTGTCGAAGATAATCGACGCCCGGGTGAATATGGAATGGAGGGTGCGGTAAAGTTTCATATCCTAAGTCATTAAGTTTCTGCAAGGTCGTCGTTGCGACATGTGACCTGGCGTTATCGTGAAGAAGACGTTGCAGTTTCCCGCGCATTTTGTCAATTTCTTGGCAATATTTATCTGCATTGATAGTTTCACCGTAATTCAGGTGGACAACCCCAGCAGTACACCACCAAATTTTTTTTTTTTGGGTGCAAATTTGGTTTCCGTAAGTGTTTTGGCGCTTCATCCTTGTATGATGCCTCCTGTTATCGTATAGAATCCATTTCTCATCGCACGTGATGTTTCGATCGAAAAATGGACTATTTTCGTGGCGAAAATGCAGTTTCCCGTACATTTTGTCAATTTATTTGCAATTTTTTTTTCAGCTGTGATAGGTTCATCATAATTCAGAAAATTATAGTGGGCAACTACAGCAGTACACCAGCAATCAGGCACCATAACCTTTTTTAGGGAAAGGTTTCATATCCTAAGTCATTATGTTTCTGCAGAGTTGGCAGTGTATTTGACCTGGCGTTACCGTGAAGAAGAATCGGCCCCTTACAGTTTACCGATGCTGGACAAAGATTTTCCCGTGCATTTTGTCAATTTCTTGGCAATATTTATCTGCTCTGATAGTTTCACCATAATTCAGGTGGACAACCCCAGCAGTCCATCACCAAACTTTTTTTGGGTGATGTTTTGGTTCCAGGAAGTGTTTTGGCGCTTCATCCTTGAATAGTTTGACCTTAATTCAGGAACAATCACAGCAGTATACCACCAATCAGGCACCATAACTTTTTTTTGGATGCAGATTTGTTTTCGGGAAGTGTTATGGCGCTTCATCCTTGTCCAACCACTGACCTGTACGCTTCCTATTATCGAACAGAATCCCTTCTCATCGCACGTGATAATTCGATCGAAAAATGAATGATTTTGACAGTGCAGCAGAAGAAAAGTGCAAATTTCAAAGGGTCCATTTCTTTTGGCTTGGGCTAGTTCGTGCAGTACCCACTTTTCGAGCTTCTTTGCTTTACTGATTTTGCTGCAGATGGCACAGTTAAGCTATTCCGCAATTTCCTTGTTGACTTAGTTAATTTTTTTCAATCAACGTTTTGAGTTCGTCGTCGTCCACAATGGAAGACCTACCGCGACCTTCCCAGTCTTCAAGATCGAAATCTATGAAATCATCGCTGCACCGTGCATTCGCTAATGCTTCCTTCTCCCAAACTATTGATGTTATGCGCGGTTAGGCCGTACTTTTCCCATGTTTAAATTCGTACAAATAAATTTGACTAAAATCTAGTTTGGACATATTTAATTTCGCAGGTCGACACTCTTATCAAATTCAATATAAACAAAAATGTTTTGTACAAAAAATAACTGTTAAATATTATATTCAATAAATTAAATTTGAGGATTTAGTTTTGCTTACATGACAAGCACCCGCGCAAAATAAAACCAATTTTAAAAACCTGCATCAATTTTGCACCAATCCAATTTTTTTCCAATCCCCCCCTTGCCAAGGGAAATTGGAAACTTTATGAGTCCAGTTTTCCTCAATCCAGTGTCACATCAAAAATCATAACCGAATCATTTGAACTCTTAATTTGTCTAATATTTCCAAAGAACTAAATATCTGCTTTTAATCTAGCCTTATAGATTACAACGCCGGAGAGAATCAGACCATCACACAATTACTTCGAATCGGCGAGACCGGACAGGATCATTGTCGAATGTCGTGAGAGGGAAAATTAAGGTCACCTTTGAGCAAATCGGGCCCCGTGCCTCGACAAAAAGAGAAAGAAAGAAAAAAAAAGAAAGAGAAAAAAAGTCGGACAGTATTGTCATTCTGCGGGCGGGCGCGGAGAAAGCCGGATTTCCATAACGCCTCGGCAAATCCTGCTAAATATGTATCTGTGTGTGTGTGTGTGTGTTTGTGTGTGTTTTAAATACCGGATGATCGTTTTTTCTCTCACCATTGGCTTTTCCGAGGTGAAAGCGTTTATAATAATTCCAATTTTTTTTGTCTAATGTTAGTCCTTCACCCTGATACCAAGGAACAAAACACAATGGCTTGGGCTTCTGGTGTCCTCGGAAGTATCTGGTCATGTAATGATCTGTAATTGAAAACCTCATGCTTTTTACCGTTTCCTCGTGGCCAAATCAATGATTTCAAAAAATCTCAAAATATTGTTTTTGTGCGACACATGCCCGAGGGAAATGGCACAGAAAGGGGAAATCGATATTCCATTAATTTCTCAAAAGAGAAAGCAAATAATTGGTTCAAACTTTTTAAGAAAAAAAAGCATTTATCCAGAAAATAAATTACGATCAGCAGACGATTCTCAGGAGAAAGTGGACACAAGTTTTCTCTGCGGGTATCTTTTGCCTGTCTGCCAAAAAAAGGTCCCTTGGTTTCGATTTTTTATATTAAACTTTTGTCGTTGTTATAATTATTAAATTTTTTAAATTTAAATTGCAAAAAATATAAACTTGGCTTGATGTAGAACATACATAAAGCCAAATATGTAAAAGGTTTTTAACAGCACTTCCTAACCAGTCCTTAACCACAAATCTTAAAGAAAAAACATATAGGAGTGCCTGAAAATAATGTCACACCCATTTTTCTCAAAATCAAAAATACCTACAATACAATTTTGCATGGTAACCACTAATCTACCTTAATTTTTCACATAGAGATTGAATAAATAATCATGTTCTGCGTAAATAAGTAAATCTGTAATTTTACACAAGGGTATTATCAAAATAGTATTTTTTATTTATTATTACTCTCTTTCCCAATCCTATAAAATTTTTATTAGATTTCTATTGATTATTTTGTTTCAAATAATCGTGGCATTTTAGGAATAAAACTTTAAAAATGCATAACTTCGTTAATTCTCAACTGTTTACAATTTTTTTCTTCACGATAAATCTAATTTTATAACTTATAATTCTCTTTCCCAATCCTATAAAACAAATCTTATTAGATTTCTATTGATTATTTTGTTTCAAATAATCGTGGAATTTTAAGAATAAAACTTTAAAAATGCGTAACTTCCTTAATTCTTAAACAATCTTCAAGATAAATCTAATTTGATAAAATCAAGGGAAAATGGAGGATGATCCCGTTTGAAATTAAAAATTTTATGATTTTGTTAATTCCCTATGTAAAAATTATTGATTTGATTTATGTAGTTCAACAAGGCAGAAGCACAAGTTTGTCTGGTCATCTGATTTTTAAGTAGTTATAGATAAAAATTCAAATTGGCCAGGTACTCACTGGTTGTTGTTGAGCATCTCCAGGATTTCCTTGCCGCCCGACGACGCCTCTTCGCTGGACATGTCCTCCTTCCTCTTTCTCAGGATTCCCCGGACCACGTCCCTGTTTTCTTTGCCTTCGTCCTCGTCGAGGTCGGTGTCAGACGAGGTGGCCGACTCCTCGGTGTCCGCGTCCTGGCATGGGCGCAGGTCTAGGCGTTTCGTGCCTGAATCCTTGTGGGCCAGGTTTTTCATCAAACCTTCGACTAAAGCAACAGAACAAACATTGTTATTATGAAAGAAAAAGTTTTACATGGGGGAGGGAGTAGGCTGAAAAACATCGATTTATGCTGTCTTCAAATCGTATGCAAGAGATTGTGCTTTTAAAAATACATGCTGGACATTGAATATATTCTATTGTCACCCAAGGCGAAAGCTAACAAGCAAATCCTAATACAAATGACTGACTTATTTGTTAAAACTGAACACTATTTATATATTTATTATTTATCTATTTTATTTATATATTATTATTTATCTTTGCACTAATTAAGAGAATATACTGCAAGAGCTTTATGTCATCTGGAATCCAGAATGCTCCAAGAGATAGTAGATCTCCATTTTCAACCGTGCAAAAATCATCACTCACCCAATAAATAAATAAAAACATTCCACAGAAAAAGCATAGTATGGTCATTTCTAACCGCTTAGTCTCATACTTTCATACTTGCTTTGGTATTTTCGCTTATTGTTATTCGCACATTACAATATCAGAGATGGTAGGGATGATTTGTGATAGTTGGGGCTAGTTAAGGACAGCTGGAGATGGTTAGGAATGGTAGCAGATAGTTTGAGATGGTAAGTGATGTTTCAATATGGCTAACATGGTCAGGAATTGTTGGAGATGATTTGTGATAGTTGGGGCTAGTTAAGGACAGCAGGAGATAGTTAGGAATGGTAGCAGATAGTTTGAGATGGTTAGAGACTGGAGATGGTTAGGAATGATAGCAGATAGTTTGAGATGGTTATTGATGTTTCAATATGGCTATCATGGCCAGGAATTGTTGGAGATGATTTGTGATAGTTGGAGCTAGTCAAGGACAGCTGGAGATGGTTAGGAATGATAGCAGATAGTTTGAGATGGTAAGTGATGTTTGGATATGGCTAACGTGGTCAGGAATTGTTGGAGATGATTTGTGATAGTTGGGGCTAGTTAAGGACAGCTGGAGATGGTTAGGAATGGTAGCAGATAGTTTGAAATGGTTATTGATGTTTCATTATGGCTAACAGGGTCAGGAATTGTTGGAGATGATTTGTGATAGTTGGGGCTAGTTAAGGACAGCTGGAGATGGTTGAGAATGGTAAAAGATGATGGAGATGGTTAGACATGGTGAAGGATGAATGGTATAATATAACTTTCAATTTATACAAAAAAATCCCACAGTGATGACGGCAAGAAACTAACGCAGACCGATATGAACGGATATGACCAAACTTAATTGACGGGACGAGTATTCGAGTGCTATTCTCATTTTTGCACAATGAAAAAAGATTGGCGTATATTAGAGCATGCCTGGTGCATACCGGCAGTCTGGCCGGCCGTGAATATTCGAGTAACCACACTTGCCAAATTACACCCTGTGCAACCTCATGATTATGATGACGAATGAAGGTCACGGGCAGAAAAAAAATGCCATTCCTCAAGAGCTGAGCCATGATCATGAATATTTAACTCATAAAAAAAATTTTAAAAAATAAATAAAAATACAAAAAAATCTCAACCAAGCCCTTCGGAAAAAGCTTAATTTTATATTTCAATATTCTATACAAGAATAAAAACACATTTTATGTGAGTGCGAAATACTTGGCTCAAAATTTATAGATAGATAAATACTGTATTTCAGCAGTAGCTATTACAGAGGGGAGCCAAATGGTAAAATAAAGATATATACATCATTAAAGATATCTTCCAACTTAAATTAACCTGACACTATTTACAAAAGGAACTATAATAATAATTACATGGCACTTAACTTGAAATCAATAATTACACGACACAACAATGAAACATCATTCATTTACAATAAAAGCTCTCAATTTAAGTGCTTCATAAACAAAATTGAACACATCAATTGCCTGGTTTCTTGCTTCAAATTTTAGCAAGAACTCAAGTTTTTGTAAATTGTTACATGTATCTATGTACTTCTTTAAATAAAAGGATCTTTGTGGTTGGTAAATTGGACAATTTAAAAATATATGTTCCAAGTTTTCCTCTTCCAACAATTTACACAAAGAGCACATTGATTGTGTGTCGATTACATATTTGAGCCCATTTACAAAAAAATTGATTTCCTTAGCACTAGACAGCCTTAGTTGTATAAGTAACCTTTGTTTATTTATTGACAAGTTTAGTTGTAAATAATTTTCACATTTGTACAAAGAGCTGATTTTTCTATAAAAAGGGTTAAATTGTGAGTTTAGCACCTTTTCTATGTCTATTGAGTAGAGATTATTTTTCCACCCCGCAAAATTCTTTTTCGCGTTTTAGATGTTCAGGGTCGTAAAGGCACATCTTGTTACAACCTATACCAATGAGTAACTTTTGCAATTGATAAAACCAGTCCCTATAATTTACTTCTAAATCACATGCTGATGAATTAGCCTTACGGAAGACATGAAAGGACCTTTCAAAAGTGAACCATTTTCCGTGCTCAATACTTTTATCCACAAATTTAAAATTCTTTTAAGCAACTGCATGGTAATGGGCTCAAGTTCAAGCTCAATCCTCACATAGTGACTAGGAGTATTTCTAGGCAAATGGTAAAGTTGCTTAAAATACCTTACTAATTATTTAATTACTAACAATAGAATCAAACAGTCTCTTTTTCGTTTCTAATGAAGGCGATCTACCCTTTATTAAGACGTCTCTAGACTTCCCAAGTGCTCTCAAGCTTTTATTAAATGAATTTTTCACTGCTGAGTTGAACTTCCCTACAACTTCCCTAAACACAACTAAATGGTACACCTAGATATGTAAATGAGTGTTAACATACCCTATGCACTCAATTTTTATATTATCTATAAATTTTTATATTATTATCTCAAAATTTATATTTACATCTTAAATTGTATTTTTTCCAATCAACGTATGTTTTATAATTTACCCAGGCCCTGAAGATGACCCAATTAAAGGTTGAAACGTCATGGGGGGGATTATGCCATATGATGAAATAAGGACAGATGATTTGAATAATGAAAATGTGGATAATGAAAATTATTACATGAAAATCACCTTTTTCACTACCTTCCTAATTGCAAAAAAGTTTTTGCCATAACAATAAAACAATCTTTTTACTCAATTAATAATACACAATTTTTTTTAAATGAAAAATTTGTCCCACAGGCGGGATTTGAACCTCGCTGGTCCACCTACTTGAGCTACCATGGCTTCGATCATCCATGCCTCAAACTTCCCATTTCGACTTCCTATTTTATTCCACAATCTTTTTAGTAAAAGTCTTCCATCATTATAGTCGTCAGTCCTTAAAAATCTCCAGTACAATTTCTTATGCAGTTTTCTTAAAAACCCAAAAACCTTTGGTGTCGCCAATTTTTTAAATTCTTAAATGTTTACATCCTGCTTGAGGTTTGTTGGTGAAAAACTGAAAGTTTTGGTTGTTTACGATCATTCTGCTCTGTCCAGGCTTTTTTTTTTTAATCTTGAGGGCTCGCTTTATCATTGCTAACTATTTTAGACCATTACAGAACTGAGCTAACTTTTTATAACCCATCTCAATCGACATTAGCCGTAAGTCAATATCCTTAACCGATTCCGACCGTCACTTACCATTCCTACCTCCACAAGTCATTTAACCAACTCCAACCGTCTCTTGACATTCGTAACTATCTCCAACTATTTCCCACTTTTTCCAACCATTCCTAATCATACTATCCTCACTATTGCCAATGATTCTTCACCATCATTCATATACATCCTTAACATCTCTAACCATTTCCAGCATGCCGATTTTTATGATAATCATTAGGAGAAAGAGTGGGTATATTGTTTTGTTGAAAAATGCACACATGCATTCAGAATGTTGAAAAAAATCAGCTTTTCCGTAGATTAGTTAAACAAATAAATATTTTCAAATAGAGTTTTATAAGAATATTAGCTGGATTTAAAAAAAGAAAAAAGTTTGAACTAGTTTAATTTAGGAAAAACTATTCACCAAGGTCTAACTCAGTGAACAAGAATAAATTTAATATTATTAAAAAAAAAAAAAGAAGCAAATAAAGCTTGATTAAAATCAATTTTGGAAAATGCTGATTTTAACAACTTTGATTCGCACACTCATGCCTTAAAATCTAAGAAGACAAATGTGCAAAATATAGACCTAGGACACCGGACATTGAATGGCTGATGAGCCGTTTCGGCATGGCAGGCGGCAGTGGCTGCGCCGCCTTCTGCGCCCCGCCGTCTTCTCCCCTCTTGCTGAAAAGCGCCACCCTCTCTGCCAATGTGAGCCTCGAGGGGTCCTCGTCACCTGAGACCATCACCAAGACATGCCAGTCAAAAAACATGCAATATATTGCTGAATAATAATATACAATTGCAAATATAATTTGTAAAAAAATGTACATGCTTCCAATTTTTTTTTAATTTTCTTTTTTTATATTTTTGAATAAATTTAATTGTGCAAAAGTGCATCAACATCTCCAATACAATGCTGTTTATATAGAATTTAATGCAAGTGATTTTTTTTAACAATATAAAAATGATTACTTACAATCAGGATCATTGTTCCTCTTCGCTTGTTCAACTTCATCAAATGTCACAGGCTGGGTGCTGAATCGTCCTCCATCGATCTTCCCCCGACTTCTAGGCCCTAGAAGAAAACAACATTTATAAAACTATTTTACTTCCTGCAATGCATTCATGTATAATTAATTGTAGCCTTTCAAAAAATAAAATCATAAAATAAGCGTTTTTAAGGTATGTGTAAAGCGTTTATCGTGACATGCACACAACTCTTATACGCACACAAATTTAATTAAATTAATTTAACAAAACACACGGTCTCATTCATGACATAACTGCCCATGTCATTCAACCAACTTTGATATAAAAAAACATATCAGAAGTTGTTTGCAATAACCGATGTATCAGGGTAATGGGACGAAACTATACGCATGTAATGTTTCATTAAATCATGAAATTGATATGAACCTGTAATTTCATGCCCATTTTTGCTGGGTTGGTCTGCCAGACACGTTTTGGCGTTTCCCCATTTTCAGAGATGGGCCTGGGTGGTTTCTGTGCCTCATTTATAACGTCGTGAGGGCTCGGGGTGTAAGCGTGTCCATTATCTTTTTTTTGCCCTTGGTGGATTGACGGACACACTAAAGATGGTGAAATGCCGAAAGTTGCGCATACATGCTTGAAAGTCATGTAATATACTTTTTAAAAAGCAAAGAGTTCTTTATATCAGAACAGAGAATAATAAAAAGAGCCTTTCTACTCTTTCTATTGATGTATATTATTATATAATTTGTTCAATTTTCACTAACACCTAAGTATACAGGAAGTTTACATATTGTACCATGCATTAGGATATTGAGAGCAACTAATTTAATTTTTGTTATAAGCTAAAGTATTGGACTGGTGCAAAAATAATGCATGTTTTGAAAAGGCAGTCAAAACTATTTTTAATTTTTATAAAATAAAGAAAATTTAATTGAAGTATTTTCCCTCACAATCTGTAGATCTTTGCTAATGTGTAATAAGCGCTTTTATTCCGCTGACATAAAACTCTTTATTTTGACTCACAATAAAGTCTTGGAAGGGTTTTTTGGCTTCATTGCATTCTCTAAAAATGTTTACCCTCAAGAAGTGATCAAAATGCCTAAAAAAATGGAAGTCTGTAGATGAGAGGTCAGGTAAACATTGAGTTTGGGTTAAGGTTTCATATTCTAAGTTAAGTTTCTGCATTGGCATTGTGTTTGGCATTATCGTAAAGAAGAATCAGCCTCTTATATTTTACTAATGCTGGGCAAAGACGTTGCAGTTTACCATGCATTTTGTCGATTTCTTGGCAAGATTCCCCTCCTGTGATAGTTCCACAATAATTCAGGAAATTATTAATGAACAACGCCAGCAGTACATCACCAAACTTTTTTGGGTGAAGATTTGGTTTCGGGAAGTGTTTTGGCGTTCATCCTTTCCAATCACTGACCTCTACACCTCCAGTTATCGTACAGACTCCATTTCTCATTGCATGTGATGATTCAATCAAGAAATGGATGTTTTGGTGCGTAACATTTCGAAGTGTCGATTTATTTGGGCTTCTGTTAGTTTGTGCAATACCCACTTTTCAAGTTTCTTTATTTTACCAAGATGGCGAACAACAGTTGAGTAGTCAACACTAAGCTCTTCTGCAATTTCTCGTGTCGGCTTATGTGAATTTTTTTCAATCAACGTTTTCAGTTCGTCTTTATCCACAATGAAAGGCCTACCGTGAACTTTCCTATCTTTGAGATCAAAATTTCTGAAACCATCAACGTATGGTGCATTCGCTAATGCTTCCCTTCCCCCAAACTGTACTGACGTTACACACGGTTTGGGCCACACTTCCCCCAAGTTTAAATATGAAAATATAGTTTGGAAGTATTTAATTTCACAGGTTCTCACTCTTATAAAATTCAATATAATCTAAATTATTTTGTATAAAAAATAACAGTTAAAAATATTCATCATATTGGATACATTATATTTGAGGACTCTAGCAAGCTCCATCCAATTCCATATACGTTCTTAACGGGTGTAAACCGGCTGAATTCGATAGAAAATGGACAAGGGGAAAAATATAATAATAATAATAATAATGAAGCGCACACTTACTGAGTTAACTGTTTAGAAATGGAAAATAACGTACGACAACAGAGCTGACCCATTCGGGCTCAATTGTCCCCTTACTCCGTGGAAAAACCGTGTAGACTGCTATGTCTATTTTTGTAGTCGGATGAATTCACACTGGCCTATTTTTAATCATGATCCATGATTCTAATACTGATTTTTTTATGTTTGTGTTTTGCTCTCCGATGAAAACATTTTATTTTTGGTTTTAAATTTAAAAAGAAATAAAGTTAAAAACAAATGAGTTTTAATGAACGATTTGGATTTGAGTTTGAAAATTGCCTTTTCTGTTTTCTATTTTTAAACAATAAAGGACCTTCAATATAATATATTTTTCTCTTTCAAAAAAACGAAATCTATTAACATTAATAGATTATTTTGTTTTTGGTCTAAATTCAACCCTTCCTCAACTCTTAAATTGATTTTGCCAAATTATAAAAATTCACAGTTTTAAAAAACAATAACGTCCACTATTTCTGACTTCGGCAGCTGGAAAGCCAGTTAATCAAGCCACGACCCACAACCTCTACTGTTTCATTTCCTGATCAGAAATAGTTGCGTATTCCAGGCAATAACATTTATTTAATTGTAAAACTTTTAAAATTTCACTAAAATAATTGATACGATTGACAAATATGATCTATATTCATAAGGATTCTAAGCAAATGTATAATTGAACCCGGTAAGATTAATTTAAATTCAATCAATTTAAATACAACCCACCTCTCATGTTGCGTTTGGTCCTGACAGCTTCCGCCGCCATTTTTTCCTGTTGCTCGAGCTGGCTGAAGATAGTTGCCCGCTCGGATACGCTGCCGCTGCGCACGAGACCTTTTCCGCTGCTCTCCTCAGGTTCATCCATTCTGCAACATAGTTCAACGCTAAAAAAAAAAAAAAAAAATAAATCTAAGACATGACATATTATATGGTTAAAGTCGATAAATTGTGATTAATTAACATTTGATAATTATGAAACAAATATAGACTGTGTTATATTTTTTAAATGTACTGAATCGAGAAATTATCTTTTCCTCTGAGTCAAGTGGTCTGGTGATATTTCAAAATAAATTAAACAATAAAGTACGCCGTAAAATAGTTGAAATAAAAAAAAATCTCACATATATTAAAAATACGTACAAAGGGACAAAAAATACTGACTTCTCTTTAGCTCAGCAATATAGGGCTTTTTTGCATATACAAAAACGGTGGCTTAGATGCGTTTTTCAATTATGACCAGGCTAAACAAATGCAGCTGTCATTTGACTTGTAACTTTGAGTATAGAATTTTTTATAACAAATTAGAAAAACAGATGGCCATTAAAGGTGAAAATAAAATATTAAAACAAGTTTTGCTAACATAGATCCTAAGTGTGATTGTTGTGTAAATAATAATCTCTAAATAAGTCGTCCAACCATCACTGGTCATGTAAGACAATTTCTCACCATCTCTATCCATTCATAACCATCTTCAATGATTCCTAACCTCCTCTCCAACCATCACTGACCAATTCCTAACAGACAAGCTTTCATTCCGAGCTAGTTAAGCAAACAACGAGCAAGGTTTAAGCAAAACAATTTATTTTTAAACCCATGTTTCACGATGATGCCTGTGGTGCAATCGTAAGTCCAAGCCTGCAAGCATTGATGAAAGCGTGGTTTACACTCGTTCCGACGAGGACAGATTGCACTTGGTGATAAATATACCAGCTAGATCAGTTCCGTCGTGCGAGGTTTTCCATGCCACTTTTTCCAGTCTCTATTTATAGTCTTAACCAAGAAGTTAGAAAAATAGAATAAATTTCAAGAAAATAAAAAAACTTTTATAAAGGATTGAATTTAAAGTTAAAAAGGATCATAGTGGGATAATAAAATTATGATCTTTTACATGTGAAAATGTTTAAATTACAATAAGAAAATGGGATAAGGTGTTCCTGATTAAACCACTTCTTCAAATTAGCAAACTGAATAAAAATTGGAATTTTTTTGGTTCGAATATTGACCTCTTGTTGACTGTTTGTCAATAATTATAAGAAAACAATTGTATGATGAAATTTCACAAATTTCTGAGGTGCTACAGACTTAAACAACCCTTTATTTAAAAACTAATAGTAATAATAATAACAATAATTAATGAAAATATGCCAAAAAATAAAAAGTAAGTTAAATATCTAGTGAAACAAACAAAAAAAACTCTTCACATAAGGATTACACGTTAGAATACCTCCAGATATATTTTATGTTCTACAGTGGAGTGGTTTTTTTAACGAGTCAAATCTTGGCCTCCACGTGCAGAAACTGCCAGCCGTTTATGCGCCGGTCTAGTTTCATACTGGACCAAGAATAGAGACATGGAATAGGGAAGGAGGGCGCTTCTTTAGCCTCTGGCCGATAACCCGAAACAAGAGCTGGCAAAAGGCCATGCGATCATCAACACAGGCGCAACAAGTCGTAACAATGAAACTCATTTGTAAAACGCCCGACTGGCTTTCGATTAATACAGTTCTTACAATGAAATTTTTAAAAATATTGATTAGGAAAGCTCAGAATTTAAAAAAAAAAAAAAAAAAATCGATGATAATCCTAAAAACAAAAATTATAATGACTCATGATATGACTAATTCTACATACAATAATTTTAAAATTTACAAATTACTCAATATTTAACCAACCTATTTCATTATGTAATAAAGATTCAGACAAATAGTGAATTGCTTCAACCAATTTAATAATTGATTTAATTCAATTTTTAAATTGGGTGAAGCTATTCATCATTAATCAATAAAAGAAGACAATCAACCAAAAAGAGGAGTAGTAACTTAATATAAGATTTACAATTATAAAACTATCCAACAACAAATTATAACAGAAAGGAAGAAAACTGGAGAACGGATTGGAAAAAGAGTGTATCTGAGGATGTTTCCTATTTATTTGCCGTGGTGTTCATTTTGGCCCGGACCCAATATTGTTATTTGCAGCTGCAACCTCGAGTTTTAAAACATCGGCCTATTAGTTCGATCTGCAATAACCGGCTGGAAATAGAAAAAAAATTGTAAACAACGAATCTGAATTTGTTTAGTTTTATAAAACGGATTTTGTGAGTTGTCAGGGGCGATAGAGTAAATACGAAACCATTCTGGTATTTCTAAACTTTAAGTTTCTTTCTGTTCAAAAGATACATATTGGTTTTTTCCGCTAACTTCATGTTGAAAATTTAAACAACTGAGTGAGCGAAACTATCTTTAAACAACATTAACTATCTCTAACTCTGTGCAACCACGGCCATTGAAAATTAACTCTTATTAATTATGGAGAAATTCACCTTGCAGAACTCCCTATGGATGATAAACAGAAGATTAGGCAGAAAGCCTGACGAGATACCACCAATTTGTTAAAACAATAAAAGTAGTGTTTTTTCTGAATGTTATGAATCAGTATTTAACTGAGTTTAAGATTACATTTGGATTCTATCATAGAATAAAATGAGGCAACTTCCACAACCATCAATGATGAATTTCTTTATGAAATGTTAAAATGACAAGTAGACAAAAAAATTTTTCTTTCTTTTTTGTCTGGAACTAAAATGTATTTTCTGCTCATACAAACTAATCAACCAAGAGAAATCATCCCGTTAAATGTAAACTATATATCTGGAATGGCTGGGAAGTATTTACATTCTAACAAGTTGTTAATTCTTTTGATTGTTTTTTTTTTCTAATAATCAATCCAGGCTTTTTGTAGATTTGTACAAACAAACCATCTGCTGACATATTTTTAAATGCAATGCCGATAGAAAATATATACATATAACATCTTGAGCTATAAATCTACAATCGTTTGCTGTACTTTCAACTTTATTCAGTCATCATCAAGGACTGTTTGTACAACACATTTACTATCTTGATAACGTGTGGTGATTAGTGACCGTTAATTGATAATTATTCAGAAATCGTGAGATGCGGTCTGGTGAGATGTAGGTTTCAGAAAAACATTTTCTTTATCGTGCCAACGTTTCGATCTTTATTGAGATCATCTTCAGGGCCTGGGATTTACAAACATTGTTTACATTTAGCAAATACATTTAGGATGTGGAAAAGTGAATTTATACGATGCAAAATATATTTTTTATATTCAATCAAAGTATTTCTACTCACTCAAAGTGTTTGTCTTCTGTGTAATTGTGCCATTCTTGCATGTCGTGTTGAGAGTGCCAGTGAGATTTTGCTGTTTTAAAATTGATTGAATATAAAAAATATATTTTGCATCGTATAAATTCACTTTTCCACATCCTAAATGTATTTGCTAAATGTAAACAATGTTTGTAAATCCCAGGCCATGAAGATGATCTCAATAAAGATCGAAACGTTGGAACGATAAAGAAAATGTTTTTCTGAAACCTACATCACACCAGACCGCATCTCACGATTTCTGAATAATTATCTTGATAATATTAATGGTCATTAAATTATCAATTAAAAAATTATAGAATAAGTAACACTTGTCCCTAATAAATTATTTCAACTAACTAGCTCTAATTTATACAGAGATAATATATTTTTGTTTTTAAATATAAGTACAAAAAAAAGCATTCCTTTTTATAGTATGCAAAGAAAGTTGTGAGTAGTGACTTTTGCATAAATACTCCAATGTTCTAGCATTGATCTATAGCGACACTGAGACAGCAACCCTCCTCACCCAATAACTATTTTGCAATTACCCTTTTCCGTCAATACTCAAAATTGCGACAACATATATCTGTTCAAACGATCAGTATTATTAGCAGGGAACACAATCTATGTAGGTTAATATTATCAATAACAATTTACTGATATTTAATTATCTTAATTATTACTGTTTGTATTAGGCTAAATTATGAAAAATAGGTCGAGATAAAAAGTTTGTCTCACAAGCAGGACCCGAACCCACGAATTTCTGTTAAGTTCAGACACTTCACCATTGAGCTATTATGAAGTTATGGATGATATGAGTTTTGAATGTGATGTAAATACAGGCCTAGATAATAAAGAAATAAATTTAGCTAAAAACTCAGTAAAAGTGGCAGATTTTAAACTGTACCAACAAACAGATTTCTTTCTGTATGTAGTACCACCAAGAAAGAATCTATATACCACTTATTTAAAATTTATGCTAGAATGTTTTGTTGGATGACAATTTATTAAAATATCGCCTTTCATATTTAAATAAAATAAAATAAGATAAATGATATTGTATATATTTTTGACCAGACTGGCAATCAAAAAATTTAAAAAAAAAAAGAGAGAATTTTTATAGAGAACTGGTCAATCTAGTTAGCCAGCACATTGGACTTAAGATACTTTTGAAAACAGTTAATTATTAGCAAGTTCATGAATTTTTCTAAAAGAAATTTAGGACAAAGTAATAATTTAAAAACCATAGAATATGCAGCATTGGTGGGATAGCATGAAATCAGCCAAATGGGGATAGCAATAGATCACAAAACCCCTGGCTAAATGCAAAAATAAATTTTAAGTTTTAAAGTAGATAATTTAATAAAGCTAACCTTGAGGGTCTTTCACTTCTTATGAAGGACATGAAGCTTTCGAGTCCATTGACTCTTTCTGCGACGCTGAGCCATTTTCCTTCATCCCCACAGGGGAGGGAGCGGCGGAATAGGTTCAAATCGAGGGATACAACTTTTTCCTGGGAAATTTTCTTGTTCCTCATGACGACGTCTGGGTGTTTTAAAATTGGCCTGACTTCGTCACCTCGCTTGAAATCAGGTGTGAGCTCTGAGTCACCAAGTGACTTCCTCCAAGTTTTCAATATCGGCCTGACAGGGGCGATTTGCTCTTCCTCTTCGGATGAGCTTTTCTTTTTCAGGATCGGCCTAGGGGAATCAAGCGATTCAAGAATTGGCTCGTCAGTTATTGACGATTTCTTCTTGAGTATGCCCTGGGGCTCGGCAGCACAATTCTCAACCTCTTCACGAGATGCTTTTCTCTTGAGTATGCCCTGGGGTTCAGGCGAGTCGGTCCTTTTGACAACCTCGTCGAGCGAACACCTCCTCTGCTGCCCTTTCAAAATTGGACGGTGGTCTTCGACATCTTGCAATGAAACAAGCTCGGGGGAAATACGTGAGACCTGCGGGTCATCCAGGCTCCTGTGCTTCTTCAAAATGCCTCTACCCTTGCGCTCGACCACATTCGGTGAAAATCTCAATGGGCTACTGCATCGTGCTGCTACAATAAACAAAACATAAAGTTTCAAAGCCTGAAATGTTTTTAAGTGTACTACAAACCTTGTTCCTCGTGAGATGTTTTCCTTTTGAGAATTGAAACGGGATTTGAGATAGACTCGTCCAAGGAAGACTTCTTGAGTATCGACGGGTGTTTTGCCGGCGAAGTCGGGGTCGACTTGCTCAAAATAAGTGATGCTAAGCGTAAAGGCTGTTCTTTGCCATTATTCGGTGATGGGTCCGAGTCCGGAGTCAAACCTGAAATAAATAAAACAAAAGGTAAATTCAATCAAATGTAAAAATCAGTAAAAATTATAGAAAATAAAAGAAAATGGAAGGAATATGTATATTAAAAAAAAAAAAAAAATGGCAATGCAAAAAAGACAGAACTTTCTGGTAGCAGACTGAAAACAAAAGGGAAATTAAGCACCAACACCAATTTGTGTGACAAAGTTCATAATCACGGTTTAAAGAGAAGAAAAGGGACAAGGAATTGGGTTAGTGAGCAGAAGCTGAGTAGAAGCAGGGCTGTCAGGTACCTCTATCGTTCCTGGATGCAATCTGTCTTTTGACAAGCTGGGCTGATCGGGGTATTGGGGAGCTCGATGGTGGTTGGGTTGTCGTGGGCTTTTTCGGCCGTGGCGAACATACGCCAGCTAGATTTGGTGACACCATTTTCCTCCTTGTTGCCTCACCTAAGAACACAAAATTATTTTCCATTGTATTTGAGATTCTGTTTAAAAAAAAAATCATGAATCACAATTTATAATATTTCTTTTTCAATCACAAAATTCGAACTATTCAATGTCACTTCTTTAGGGCAGAAGCCTGGAAAATCTGATATACAATGCAGTGCTAATTGGCAAACAAGTATCAAAAGATACGACAAACAATATAAATAAATGTCCTATATAAATTTAAATGTTGGACAAATGCAGTCAATATTTTACTGTGATTAATATAAACAGTAATTATTATTATTATTATTACAATAATAATTAACATATATTTGTACAACTCAACTATCCCATGTAGTTAAAATCATTTCCTGATTGCCTTATTGTAATTCATTCTCGGTCTAATTATTATTTAACAACACCACCCTGAAACATTCATGGCCAAAAGCAACAAGCACGGCATCACTAACAATGTAAACTATGGATTTGAATAAATATAAATATTACAAATGCCCTTATTTAATTAAATTGTTTAATTGTAAAAGTGTAAAAGCATATAAAAATGACAAAAATTGAACTGTTCATACAAACCACAGTACAGCACAAATAGTACTTTTTTAGCAGTGAGTTTGAACTTCATATTATCTTGCAATTTATTTAACTGTATATGAATGATTTTTTTGAGTTTTTGATCTGATCTGGAAAGTTTTTTTTTAATTCAATGGTAAATATGCAAATACGCTGCACAGCAAGCGTTTCCTTCATCTAAAACGCTAAAAGAGCGGCAACCCTGAACCATTCATGGCCAAAAACGACCAGCAGGAAATGACTAACAATGAAAATTATGCATTTCAATAAATATAAATATCACACTGCCCTTATTTAATTGAGAAAGTATAAAAGTGTATAAAAATGACAAAAAGTCAACTGTTTAAACAAATTGTAGTACAGCACAAATAGTACTTTTTTAGCAGTGAATTTGAACTTCATACAATCTTGCAGTTTTATTTATAATTGTATATTCATCTGACCTTATTTTATTAATTTGTTAATTTAGAAAGTTCTACGGGTATGGAAAAATGACAATAAGGGTCAAATATTCAACTCAAAGAAAAGGGTGTTGTAAAATTTTGTCTTACAACCTTGCATAGTTTCATTATTTATAGACTATTGAGTTTTTAACATGTTCTAACCAGCATAATCATTAAAATGAAACTTATATAGAAATAATCATACTTTATTTTTATGTCAATTTGATTAGTTTCATTATGAGCAATACTGACCCCCCTCCCTCCCAAAACATGTCTGGTCAAGGAGCAGCAGGAAATCATAAATGAAGAAAACCTTTAATATAAACATCAGTAATGATCAAATTTGACTACTAAGATGTTCTAAAATCGTTTAAAAACAAAAATGAAACGCCGGTGGTGATTTAATGAATTTTTATAAAACTTGGTGAGCGAGATGGCATTTAGATACTTTATGTACACAATACCTGATAAGACAGTCCATGTAAAGCGTCTATTTTCCCCCTAATAAAGGCAGATAAATGGTAAAACTCGACTATTTTATGTAAATTATTAAAGCTACATAATGACGCAAATCGTTGAAGAGAAACGGAAACCGTCTGACAAGAGTCAGGAGGACGCTAAACTACGGGAAACCCAGACTGGATTCTGTACTGTTACGGGCTACCCAGGACCCCCAGCTGAGTACGCAGTGTTGCTCCGATCTCCTAGGCAACCGTTTCACACTTATTTCACACAAATCTACACCTTTCATCTCCAACGGATTATAGAAATATGTAATTCAATTATTTTAACTGTTTAAATAAAACGAACAGGACAGAAATCAACTGGGTTTGATTTTAAGACGTTTGGAAAGGTCTCAGTATTTCAAGTAATAACCTGTTCTCAACAACCTTCTGAAAGGTTATATATAATTTTCAATGTACTTCATTATGATATGCGTATGAGGTTAGCAGACATATTTGACCGTATTAATTATATTTTTAATCTAAGGCCTTGGTTGAGATGAAAAAGTTACTGTCATGAGCGGGATTCGAACTCACCACCTTCGGCTCAATACGCCGCTGCTTTGACCACTTGAGCTATCGTAACTTCGATCCACTCGGACACCCACACTAACTCTTCATCTCAACCAACAACCTTTTGAATTTTCATACTATCATCATAAAATCATACTTCTACAGGATCATTTCTGTAGTAGATCTTAACAAAAACCAGCCAAATTTTTAAATATCGTGCAATAAAGATTCGATTCTCAGTAACTTATGAAGTGGCCACGAAGAGCTGTCAACGAAATAATTACTTTTTTAGTTATTATATTAATCCATATTTGTTTAGCAGTCATAATTGATCATATTAATTATACCTTTTATCTAAAGTATTGGTTGAGATGAAAAAGTTAGTGTCACGAGCGGGATTCGAACCCACGACATTCGGCTCAATACGCCGCTCCTCTAACCACTTGAGCTATCTTAACTTCGATCCACTCGTACACCAACACCAACCCCTCAACTCAACCAACAACCTTTCGAATTTTCCCTCCTTTTTAACCATATTTTCGATATCCTGTAATCAGGATTCGATTCTCAGCGCCTTATGAAGTGGCCACGAGGAGATGTGAACGAAGTAATTATTTCGTTAATTAATAACGGTACAAAAACAAGAATAAAATAGATAGTCCAGTAGCCAACGCAGCGCCAAATTCGAACACCATTAGCTCAAAGATGGTGCTGAATTGCAAAGCCAATCTAAACAAATTAGGTGATCAAAGTCAACCTCTGCTGGGTCCCAGGACCTATGGGAGAAGAAGTCAGGGAGGAAACGGATGTCCTTGCAAAAAGAGGGGTTGCTATACCGCTAATAGGACCCGAGCCCTTCCGTGGCATAGGAATCCACACTACCAATGAGCAACTCAGGCCGAAGGATAAAAAGAAAATGAAAGAACAATGGAATTCGCTCATTGGACACAGACAATCCAAGAATCAATCTCTTAACCAATTTTGAAAGAAAAGAAATTACAGAATGTGTCAAAAGAAGCGAGAACAAACTGCGAATCGTAATAGGATTCCCAACAGGACACTGCAAGTTAAATGGACACTTAAAGAAGATTGGAATAATCCAACACGGCACTTGCAGATTGCGCAAAGAGGCAGAAGAGACACCAACACATCTACTAACAAACTGCGGAGCTACACTTGCCCGCAGGAGAAAGAGTTTTGGGGTGTATAATGGGACCATAGAAGAGCTTCAACCACCAATGGAACACCATTGGACACAAACAATTCAATTACTTCTTAAAAAACTAACAAAGGAACCCCCTCTTAACAAAGGAAAGAGGTAACAGGAAGAATGAAAAAACTGCGAATACTATTCTTAACAGGATACTGCAAACTAAATGGACGTCTGAAGAAGCTCGTGCAGATTCTGCAAAGAAGCAGAGGAGACACTAACACACGCACTAACAAACGGTGGTGCTACTTGCCCGCAGGAGGAAGTGATTTGGGACATAAAACGTTACCGTAGAAGAGATTTAACCACTGAAACCGGGCCTAGTAATCAAGTTCCTTGATGAAGTGGGACTTACCGATGTGCTCAGAATAATACACACCCGATTAATACATACATCTGTTATCTAAGGTTTTGCCTGGGAGTAGGTTCGAATCCCGCTCGTGTCACTAACTTTTTCATCTCAACCAAAACCTTAGTTTAAAAGTATAATTAATTACATTCTTTTCTTGAGCATTACGACAGGCCAAACCGGAGATGGACACACCAAAATAATCTAACCGGAAATGACCACATCACGTGTTCATTCACAAACTATTATATTTTGTTTAAAGTAAAGCATAGTTTCAAAACAAAATGACAATATAAATATAACGATTTATTTTTCTAGATCATTTCCACCGCGCTATGCAGTTGTTGAATGACTGGCTCTGAAGCCAAATTATCCGTTCGGAACGAGGAGTTAAATATTAAGGTAAAATATTTTTAAAAAATCCATATATGCATATAGCACTCATAATTGACCGTATTAATTATTTTAATTAATTATACTTTTAATCTAAGGCCTGTTGAGATGAAAAAACAAGTGTCACGAGCGGGATTAGAACTAACCTTCGGCACCACTTGATCCATCGACTCGTGGCACTTGATTTTTCATCTCAACCAAGACCTTAGTTTAAAAGTATAATTAATTAAATTCGTTTTTGATCACTACCGATTATGTTGGTCCGCCTATGCTCGTTGGTTGGCCTGTCAGACGCGTTTCAGCAATTAACCACCTTCAGTGTGTCTGTGTGACCTTGTTAAGTTAGGTCTGTTTATAAGGTTTCGGGGGTGGGGTATTGTGCCGGACTTATCTTTGATGAATTTTTTAGTTTTCTTGTCAAATGTACTCAATGTACGTTCATATTGAGGAAACAGTCCATTCAAGTCAAATACTTAGGACTGTACCTAGACAGAAGACTGACATGGAATCTCTATCCAAGACTTAAGAGTCAACTCAACAGAAGACAAGTACGAAGACTTCTACGACCAAAATTTGGCTTGACCGTCAAAACTAACCTAGCCTTATACAAGACCTCTGCGACCACTTTGGACATACGGAGTGGAACTATGGAGGTTCTGCCAAACCATCCAACATCTAGCGCATCCAATCCTTCCAATCAAAAATCCTCTGACATATTGTCAAAGCTCCTTATTATGTCACTAACCTCACTATACATAACGACCTCAACATTCCTTTTGTCAACGAATTGATCCGATCCCGATTCCAAAAGTTTCACACCAACCTCTCGTCCATCCTATTCCTACAAACCGAGCCCTCTTTGGACATTCCCATCCCATAACCCGCCACGTCGCCTTAATCGACGATGGCCTCGGGACCTCCTTGCCCTTAATCCCACATACTGAGTGCCAGCATTGGTCGGTAGTGTTAGTGTTGTGTCCGTGTGAAAAAATTCTGTAATCACATTTGTAATATGCACGGTATAGGGTACAAATAAAATAATTTTTAAAAAGTTCTCTTGTGCGTTTAAAAAAGCAGTTATTTCTAGTAGGACGTATTTCATTCGCTTTTTAGGATTACTTGAGGTTTGCGACCATATTGCTGTAACGGGTTTTATCTGTTTACGCGTGTTCTCTGATTGCCCTACAAGCTTTTATTAGGCAAACAGAGAGAAAATAATACCTTCTGGCCTAACGAATTTCCCTTTGACGATGTCCTAAGATCATCTTATGTGAAGGTCCAACATAAGACTTGAGCAGCTATTCGGCAGCAGGCAACTGAAGTCAAACTGGGGGTATTCAAAATTTACGTACATAATAATTCATTTCGTGTAAAACGTACACGCTATTCGCTAAATCGATTATTTCGCCAATATTTAAGCCGCACATTGCCATGATAGTTATTGCTTCCGATCGGTGCATTGCTGCGAAGTAAGCTAAGTATGACATCATGACTCTGCTGCCATGGGGATTTGCTGTATTAATAGGTAACCTAAAAAACGTGTTTACAATTTAAGTTGACATCGATAGAAAATACGATTTTATTTTGAGTACTACGCTAGGAAGACACAGCTAACCACCCTGTTCTCTGGGGCTGAGGCTCTGAGAAGGTACCTAGTTGTAGGAGGTTTGTTTAGCTCACCAAGCATGGAACTGGATTCTTTAGAGTTGGGATTCCTCAATAACGTTTAGAACAAACTCATCGTGTCGAATTGTTTTGATCAAAAGTGCAGAATCACCCTTACGATTATCACTAGGATGGTCGATTCGATATATTATTAAATACTGGCACATTTAATCATTTGGCGTTTTATATTTAGCACGGGGTATTTCAATGACGTCAATAATAATTATGAATTAATTAATTCATTGTTATAATTACACCCGTCCAGGGTGGAAATTTTTAATATTCAACCCCCTTGTGTAATGAAATCAAGCAAAAAAGCCCGTATCGATCCTCTCTTAGATCTCATTTCCCGATGTTAGTGCAATGGAGAAAATAATGAACTTTATAATTAAAGGCGGACTTGTTGATAAGTCCACGGTCATCAGTGCATTAAAACTGCCTAACGTGTCGCTGTATTGCCCGGTGTGGATTTCCTCCCGATCGGAAGAGCCTTCATAAAACGACAGGGCGGTTATGAATTAAAGTTCACCATTTCGCTAACTAGGACAACGCGAACGGGGGTGGGTTAGGTCGGATACAGTTCCATGGCAACCCCCTTGACACACTGACACACCTGTTTGACCCAGGACCGTAATCAAAGCGGCCACTAAGGCTAGTTAATTATTAATAATAATACACTTGACTATCTGACTTAATTAAAGCACATTTTACGCACTTTCCGCGAATAGTGGTTTAAATAAATCGGATCAATAATATCGAATATTTTGTATGAGAATATATATTTACATCGAATTTGAAGCTTTTTGATACACTTTTTACACAATAGTAATAGTTTTTAAAAAGATAGTTCCTACTCACAGTAAGTAGTGTAGGAACTATCTTTTTTATAAAGGATTAAACACCACACTCACTCCATCATTTATCATTTCTACCAATAGTAATAGCTTCCCTCCAATTAAGCAAGAGTTAGATTAGATTTTTTCGGGTTTTCAATGAAATTTTTTGAAATTACGATTGGGTAATAAAATCTTCAGAGGTCATACGGAACAAAACAAATTTTTGGGTTGTGCCCAGGTTTTGGTAATTATTCAGAAATCGTGAGATGCGGTCCGGTTTTGATTTAGGTTTCAGAAAAACATTTTCTTTATCGTGCTAACGTTTCGATCTTTATTGAGATCATCTTCAGGGCTAAAAGTGGTTGTCTTCTGTGTAATTGTGCGTGTCGTGTTGAGTGTGCCCATGAGTTTTGGTAATAAACCACCGAAAATTCGGCATAGCCCAAAAAGTTGTTTTGCTTCATATGACCTCTAAATCTGACCCCTTGTCACCCAAACTTAACTTGCTCCAGATCGATAAACACCCAAAACAATTTTTACATTATTTATTTGATATTTACAACTACAACTATTGTATTAAGTAAATATGCTCATGTATGCTGAATTTGTCATTTGAGCTCTCTTGGAGGAGAAGTTGCCCAGTGCAACACTGCTTCACACTGAAATCTCATCAATTTTCACTCAATGAGGGAGGCGACTTTTGTTTCAATCGTCTTGGAGGATTTTGGTTGGATATAATATCTGCCGTATTAATAGTCAATGCAAAGAATCGATTTTTTTAATGCTTAATTTTCGTAAAGAAGATGCTATGGATGGTAAAATATAGGATCAGTTGATACAAGGAATTTTTCTCCGATTAAAACAACTGCAGACCGCAAATGTAAATGTGACACGGACACCAGGCCATCGGGCATCACTGGAAAGATGAAGTCAGACCTAGCAGCAAAACTGGCTACTAGCACCGGCGTCTCCTGTCAGAAATTTCCTCCAAACAACTTTTCCTCGGTTGTGAAACGTGCTATTTGGATGAAATGGCGAAACGAATGGGAAAACAACAAACTGAGCGGAATAAAACACACCATACTAATACGGAGCTCATCCGCGAAAAAGAACCGGCGTGAGGAAACAGTCCTAACCAGACAAGAATAGGGCACACACGTCATACTGTACTTAATGACACTGAGTGTGCACGCTGAGACAATTACTGTCGGTGAGGCGAGTTCTGGTGGATTTCTCCTTTTATGAGCATCCCAGAGATTTGCATAGAATAGTATGTCAGTCTTCCTCCATTGTTTCAGTTCCTTAAAGCCTCCAATCTATACCCGAAAATTGAACACAGATGAAACGATACACAGATGATATATGATACGCCAAATACAACCTCAGTATAAAAATAACCCACAAATTACTCTTGTACAGATCTGATTTTCCTTGCACCATTAATTGGTCTTTTATATCCACTATAATTAAGTAATAATAATTTGTTAGTTAACGCTAGGCAAAGAATCAAGGGATGATAGTTGGTTGATGGTAGGGTGGTTTTAGCCTTAAAAAAGTACTAACACTGTTATGCTATCGTGTATATTATTCGATATGTAAAACTTTTGTACTTCACATTTAGTTTATTAAAGGATGCAATTATAAAATTTACATAACATACGGGTCTGGAGATTTTTTAAATCTAATTTCCTTTGCTTTAACATTGGAATTTACTAGCCTATTATTCTGGTTGTAATGTTACTTTTTCGTTAGACAATAAATTGAATTTTTTTCTAATCGACAGAGACTCAAAAACCCATATATGCGCTCTCTAAGGCTCATCCGTTAATCTATGAAATATAATCCATGTTATAATTTGATTGTTACCGACCATTTCGGTCTGTCTATCCTCGCTGATTTGGCTAGGCAGACAAGTTTTGTCATTTTAAATTTTTTTGAGATCCAGCACTGAAGATGCTGAAATATGACATGTTGACGATATTTTGATATGTAATGTATATAGTTCTTGATACAAAGTTTCGTTTTTTGCATATAGCTTTAGCAGATAAATATATCCAAAATATCGAATTTTCACATCATCAAGTATTGTTAGTTGTTAGCAATTGGTAATCACCAGGGAAACGAGGTGGGCTTTTACTAAGCCTCGCCTGAATACAGTTTTTGTTTGGGTCTTCTGTAATGCGAGCCCAAAAATCGGAAAACCGAAGGGGTTTGGTCTCAGATGATGACGATAAGGGCATAGGGACGGTGATGCAAGTCATGATACGTGATTTAGGGTGGCCCGTTTTTTCAGACAAAAATTTTCAACTTCAATTTGTAAATTTATTTTAAAAAATTTCGCCTTTTAATTGGGACAGGAATGAGGGATCAGAGAAATCCACAGCCATCCCTAGCGAGAGATATGCATTTTCGCGAAATCAATTGGCCAGTGCCGACCAAATTGGACATCTACCAATTCTCCGACCGCGGTCCAAAATTAGCCGTTCCCGGAAATCGATACAAACCCGGTTCACGACGATTTTGGCCGATCAATGGCCGATATTTTCAGCTCAGGCCGTACGACGGATTGTTAGCACTTCCGGACACCGGTTTACTTTTGTAAATCTCTTACATCTTGGGCAAGTAATCTTTTAAAAATAAACAAAATATGCGCAGACAACCTACAACCAAGCAAAAATGCCGATTAGTATTACAAAAACTGTACGCTCTGGGATTTATGCATATTTTGTTAAAATTAGTCTGCACCCCAGTCGGAATGGTTATCGACAGATTATCCCGACTTTTAAAGAAACAATTAAAAAGCCGTTACAACAAAGCCTTCAATTATTAACAAACCCTCTTTCAACTTCAGATAGAACCCTGAGTGTGGCCACAAGAACAATTGGTACGTGGTCGCGATCATTATTAGAACCCGCAATCGCTGGACAAGTATGGCGGCCTTCGGTGTCAATAGGTCCCATCATAATACACATATATATAGAATAAATGTACAATGTACACATGTATAAATATAAATATGATATATTGTCAAAGAAATACTTGAGCCAAGGGGAATACGCCTTGACAGAGACTGAAACCTCAGCACGGACACAACTTTTAATTCTCCAGGATATGGCAAAATGACAAAAGACAAATACCCCCCCCCCCATATACAAGAATAAACTACAATCGATATTTAGTGGAGCCAGACCCATCTTCACAGATGGGACCAAGACGGCATTGGGTGTGGGTGCCGCCGGTTGTATATGGAGTGAGATAGAAACGCTGTCACTCCGTCAGCAAGTACACGATTGAACTGAAAACCACATCCCTCGCGCTAAGGTTCGAAAGAAAACAAGTAAATATATTCATAATAAGCACAGACTACCTAACCTAGGAGAAGTGCATCCGCAGACCATTAATTCGAAAATTATGAACAACCTAAAGGGATCGATGTCAGTGGAAAAGAGTCCTGGCATGGGTTCTCGGGCACATTCGTCTAACCGAGAACGAACGATATAAGGCAATGAAGTTAGCCATGACGAGACCACACGACCCTTTCCACTCTGTACGCCCAGCAAATTTTTCAAAGTAAAGTGCTAATTATATAAATTTAAAAAAGACATCGGTCCTAGGCCTGCGGAGGCTGGGTCTAGAAGGGAAAAGGTTATTCTTACCAGGTTGCGCATAGGCCACACACTGACTCTTTCTATTGGGGGTGAGTCCGTGAGACCACGCAGGTGCCGGTTGTGTGGAGGACTTACCACGGTATAGCATATAATAACATACTACAAGGAACTAAGTCTGCAAAAAAAGAAATACGACATCGCCATTGACCTATGCGTGGCCTTGAGGCACGGTAGCAGAGAGAGATCGCTGATACAATATCTCAGGACCTTAAATATTTTAAATTGTACATAGATTTTTGTACTTTTATGTATGTGATAAGTGATATTTACTATATTTTATAAGCGATATTAAATGGAACGAATGTATTTATTTGCGTGACTGAGAGGGTTATTCTCAATTATCCCGAATATTGAAAACTCTGGGGCAGTGAGAATGTAATTTGTTAGTGATTATTCGGAGATCGTGAGATACGGTCTGGTGTGACGTAGGTTTTAGAAAAATATTTTCTTTATCGTGCCAACGTTTCGATCTTTATTGACATCATCTTCAGGGCTCAAAGTGTTTGTTTTCTGCGTAATTGTGTCATTCTTGTGTGTCGTGTTGAGAGCCCACTCTTTGTAAGGCAGTCTCAACACTACACACAAGAATGATACAATTACGCAGAAAACAAACACTTTGAGCCCTGAAGAAGATCTCAATAAAGATTGAAACGTTGGCACGATAAAGAAAATGTTTTTCTAAAACCTACGTCACACCAGACCGAATAATCATTGACTAACGGTCAATAAACACCACACATTTCACACACACACGTAATTTGTCAGTGTGAATGAAGGGGCACATCCGCAAATACCCTGAGGAATATCGAGTTTTGTGTGGTAGTGTGAGCGAAGTATGGTGAGTGAATGTAATTTATTATCGTTAATGGAGTGGCATATCCCCAACTACTCCGAGGAATATCGAAAACTCTGGGGTAGTGTGAACGAAGTCTGGTGAGTGAATGTAATTTATTAGAGTGAATGGAGGGGCATATCCCCAATTACCACAACGAATATCGAAAACTCTGGGGTAGTGAGAATATAGAATGTAATTTGTTAGTTTGAATAAAGTTAACCTTAATTACCCCGAGAATTAACTACCAACATAACAACATCGATTAATATCAATACCTATCGACAGTTCACGATCGACTAGACATTTCTATTTCACAGTATATTAAATATCGACATCGAAATTTCGCAATAGAACATAAATATATATATCGATACATACATATCTTCATATATAATTGAATTATACTTTTTTATTGATCCAAATCTATTAAATACAGGTTAACCAAGAAGAAATGTGTAAAAAAATATTAACAATGATTTTGGGAATTGGTCCGAAATGAATTTATCGCATCTTTTGCCAAGCTTTTCAGCTTTTTATTAAGCCTTCCATATGGCTTTACAGAAAGATAAAAATAAAAAAAATTAATAAGAAACTCTTAATTATAACAGTTTATTAATACAGATAACTACACAACAGCTATGATTATAGTAGTAAAATTATCGGTAAATAACGCTATCCATAATTTATAAATAATCGACTATCTATGACAATTTCAGTACTGTTAAGGGAAAAGAGGCATCAAAAGATCAATAATAAAAATATCTATCATGGTATTAAATCAATATTGATTGGCAATGCTATTGATATTTCTGTGATTCTTATATACTTATTGGAACTGAAAGAACTTGAAGGTTGTTATAACACAATATCAGGATTCGATGTGGTTACCTAACCTCAAACTCTTTGCTGTGAATGTGAACTGTTAACTGTTATGCTCGGTCATATAAATAAAACAAAAAACCTTTTAAAGAAATACCATTTATGAAATGGCGTTTTGTGGTCACTGTTTATGATTTGGTGTTTTAAAGCAGAACGGACAAGACATTGAATACTGAACTTACAGAGAAGGTCGATGCCATCTATGGTCACCATTTGTATTTCCGAAAGAATTCTGCAATCGAGAAAGTTCTGCGTGTTTTTAGCGCGGCAAAATTAATCGGGCCCGGTCAAAATTTGCCTGCGGTACGGTTCAGGATTCGCCTGAGACTGAGTTTTTAAATTCAGAGGAGAGGAGTGCCAATTTCCTTCCTCCAATTGTGCCAGATTGACCGCGATCGTTTTGAGGTCACGAGGGTTTGCCAAGCAAGGGGGGAAAAGGATAAAAATCGGCTACTTACACGCTTCGTTGAGTCTTCTGCTCTGAGGTCTGCTTCTGAAATGTATCGGGCTGATATCATCCTGAAAAACGAAATAGCAGTATGTAGAAATGCATCAGAAAACAAAAAAAGAAGAGTCAAAAGGTGAGTTACTCTACAGTGCGTCCTTTATATCATACCATGACCAAAAGTCAACGGATACAGCGACACGACCGTATTTCTGTCAGAGGATTTTGTTATCCGACTAAAGGGACTACCATAACTGTCTACATTATTACAATCCTGTTTACCAGTGGTACGTAGGTCACCGGTGTTAATTCGAGTCACGTAGCGGCCCGCCCTTCGTAAACTACATAATACGCGCTATTAAACCGACCCGAACCGTTTTACGCCTCAGCTCATTTGCCCAGGATAGATAGACTTTCGAAACTGAGCGGACCCAACGGGCCCAGTGGATGAAGTGCTATTTTGACGTTAATCCTAGACCAGGCTAATATAAACGGTGATAACTTTGGGACAAAGAGTAGCTAATTATTAGTTTACCGTAACCGAAGGAATCAACCAATCAATATTGTAAATATACAAACCAAACACTGAAGATGGCTTCTGAGAGGCCAAAACAACGAAGATATGCAAACCAAGACGATCGATAACGACCAAATTAGAGATTTTTCATTTATATTTAAAAATATTGAAGCATGAACTTTTCAAAAATAATTTTTTTAAATTTCAAATTTGTAATTCATTGTGTAATTACTTTGTGTCCTATCTTTCTTTCCCTTGTTTAAAAAATATTTTTATGAGAAAATTCTGAGTGACTTTTAGGGCGCTTACTACTTATTACTAAAATTCATGCTTGTTCCCCAAACAGCTTAATCCCATAACAGGATATGAATTGTGCTAAAGCGAAATAAACCGGTTTTTTTTTCGATCCCGACGCATTTCGCCTATCTGGTAGTTCTATTATCAGCCAGATAGGACCCGACCCTCCAGGGCTCGTAGAAGTAATAAGTAATTTATCCATGTATTGACATTAGTACATCAGCATTAATGTATAATCCGTTCAAGCACTTCATCATTTTTTTGTACGAATCAATCAATTGCGGAAAAGACAATTCAACCAACAAAAAAGGAGGAAAAGTAGCAATTTATAAACCTATTTTAAAGTAATGTTTAAATGCTCTTAATAATTAAAAATTTCCAAGAAACCTTTCTGATTATCAATTTTTAAGTTAATAAGTTTGACTTTAGCCACGAAAGTAAAATGTTTCTGCATGAATGTAAAATAATTTTATATACGTTTAAATCTGCCGTATTTCTTGATAAAAAGGATAAGCATTGGTATTTTTCTAAATTTAAAAATAGTTATTATTTCTTTGCTGGATAAATAATAACAGACAACAACGTAATTTTTAACAAACCGTTAAGTTAAATAAGAAAAAAGGTAGGACTTAAAATTGTACCCTGTGGCACCCCACATTTAATTGATAATCTTGAACTACAGCAAGATTCAGGTTCGTTACCAGATCAGAAATATACGAATTACAAAGAACATGAGCAGTTCCATTGATGCCAATTTTAGAAAACTTCTGAATTAGTATAGTTAAGTATTATTACTATTTATTAACCTCCAATAAACGAAAATAATCGATACTTCGATAGCCTTCGATTGTTGTTATTTAATACAGGTTAACAGTAAAGAGACAACGGATATCCATGTATATTCCATACCATTTCGGAAATGCTACTATCTATATTACTGAAATATGTATAGCTGCTTTTACATACCTACATTTTTTAATTAATTGCAATAAACAGGTTTATATTGAAAGGAATAATAATCCTAATTAATGGTAAACGAGAAATAATATATCGATATTTTGGTAACTATCGATAGCTATAACAGCAGAAGTCAAATTTTTACAAATGCGACATATGAAATGATATATCGATGGTATTATCGATACAAGTAAAAAAATTGATGGTTTGAAGACTGGTACACTGACGTTTTAATGGTGATGGAGAGGTTCGCTGTCATCACAGTAAGTGTGGCCAATTCTAATCCGTTAATTCTTAAACGTCACAGTACCTGTTGTCGTTCAGAATTGTTGTCAAATCATATATTTATGTACTGCCAAACAAATTAGCCATGCCCATTTGTCGTTGGACATGTCATTGCAAATAATGCGTTTGATATCAGATTGGGAGAAAGCTTTGGGTTCAAATGGTACAGGTCTGTCTAGTTCAGCTTCCACTTCAGTGGTATGTTTTGGGCGTCAAGTAGGTTGGGATGTGGGATAAAAGAGGCGGCCACAAGGCCTACTGCACCTCGACCTGTGTAGATCTATTATTCTCCCCTATTTTTTTATAATTCACAGGCTAGCTTCAGGTTGTTAATCAACATCTACAGTCTTGCCAGAAGATCCTTAGTGCAGGATCTTGCTTTTGGTTTTCCTAGTTGTAAGAACCTGCACTTACATAGACCTTTACAAAAACATAAAATCTTCCTGGCAGTATTTGTACATTGTTTCTTCTGTCTGTCCTATCTGGAGCATGTACTTTCTTAAGCGGCAGTGCTCTGTCGGGGGTCAGCCAGAATCTTGGTTCGGTTGAGGTTACCTTCCAGTAATTCCTCCGTAAGTTTTGCAAATGATCCTTCCATGAATCTCTTCGCGTGCCTCATGCCTGCGGCATTGTTCCACCAGTTTCGGACTCATTAATCCATTTTATGATTTTATCCTTTTTTGGAGCAAGATACTAAGCCACAACCTAGAGTACATGTTCGCTCTCTCTTTGGCCCCTTTTCGTTGCCTTTATGCCCCGAGCGCCCAGGGACCCATGCAAGGACCAGGTCATTAGCGTCACTGACTTCTGTCAGGCGTATGAGTTAAGTAGCGTTCCAAAATGATTATCTGTTGTATTGTATACTGTTTCTAAGAACATCCTTATACTTGTTCAGAACAGCTTTCACTCTTTGCTCTAACCAGTGGTTTTGATGGAAATTTTCAAAAAATTCCCTCTGTCTTGATAATCCAGCAAGTAAATACTTGAACCTTTTCTTTTTTAAAGGTCGATTTGTTTTTCGTGTGTGTTCGCCCTGAACGAATGAAAGTCAATTTTTTTGTCAACGAGTTGTTTCCAGTTTCAATTGGCTGGATGCTGGTACCAGCGGTACACGATTTTTTTCTCTCTACCACTTTGGAGGGAAAGCCCCCGGGGCTCCGATGAAGCAGTCAAGGAAGGAGGATATGCAGATGGCAAAACCGGCTGTCCGCTTATATGGCAATCGGCCTCGCCTCGACGTTCCCGTGTGGGCCGTCCGCTTTCTCTCGCTTGTACGCGGCTGAACGAAAATCACGGAAAATGTACAGCACTAATTTTTCTTTTCCCCTCCCGGCACGGTCACGGTCGCCAAACGATGAGTCAGCCTGGGCTCGACAACAAGAGCCAAACAACAAAACGGGAAATGAAAATCAAAAGCCTTATTTGAAAAGGAACAAGTGTTCTGCCTTGCCGTGATCCCATTTCCCCGAAGTTCACAGTTATCAATTAATAATACAAAAACACGATCGAAAAAATATATTAACGATTAGCAGGAAGTAGCGAACTGAGTGTACCCTTGCGAGAATCGGTAAACGAGCCACAATTCTAATCGGCTTTTCTTTTGTAAACCATTGGAAAACATTTTGAAATTTTGATGCTAGCCTTTAGACAAACAAATCTATAATCAGACAATACCGGCATATTGTTTACTATGTCCAATAATATACTGTGAACTTCAGAAAGTATGCCTTTTTTTTCACTAACGTCAAAAAGTGGGCGAGGCCAATCATTATTTAAGGTGACAATGACTTCAGGTACGTAAAAATGGGCGTGGCTAAATCTGATTTTGTTAATACATCAATGATGTCAGGTTAGCCTTTCGACTTAACGTCACTGAATAATTGGGCAATGAGACGAGACATAATTTAACGTCATTTAAGAAATGACTACAGAAATTTGAAAGATTGAAGATTTTACCAACCAGCTTTGGCCTATGAAATTCGAAAAAATGACTTAACTGTTTATCAGCTTATATTATAACCTATAAGACTCAATTGGGAAAACCTATCAAACAAACAAGCTACCTGTTATATCCAAGCAGGTGTTCAAGAAGGAAGTAATCATTCCCCCTCTCTACTAAATATCGGCTGTATGCTAAAATTGCGTCGAAAATGTCCAACATCTTCATAAACTCCGGATATTCAGTCTAAAACCTTCGTCCTATTTGTTGGAGTCGAGGTCGGCGTACGCTGCGTACCCACGGGCAATTTCTACTTGTACCACGTGTGGAATTGAGCCGAGATGCCTTGGAAAGATTTGAAAAGAGGCGGGTGCCACGGTTTCTAACGTTACCGGTACAATAAAACCGAGACGAAGACGACGGCATTGTCCAGGATGGACAAAGAGACGACGCGACGGAACGGCCTCGGACAAGAAAACCTGGATCATTCCCAGCTAAAAAAACTAGAACACGATCAACCGAACAACTCATTTTCATACATTAAAGTTCATTATCATATTTAATTTTAATAAATGTAACACCTATTGCCTTTCGTGACGCAACAAAATACCTTGGTTTGACATTCAATAGATCACTAAATTGGTCAGTACATTTAACTTCCTTAAAAATGAAACGTAGTCAGTCACTAAACATATTAAAATGGTCGGATCTTTCTCTTGGGTGATCGTGTCAGCTTATTAAAACTGTACTGCCTGGGTGGTGAAAAACAGACTATAGTTGCCATCCATAATGCGGGGCTACGTCATGCTGTTGGCTCAAGTCCGACTAACAGACTTTATGAGAAACATATGAACTTTCTACTTTACTAGCTATCAAAAATAATTTCTTCAAATCCCAGAATACAAGAGATATTACTTGCTCTAAAATATCTCACGTTAGTTAGTGTTTTGTGGATCCAAGGTCACTGTCGTATAAGAGGCAATGAAGAGGGTGATCTAGCAGCGAAACGTGCCGCATCGAAGGGTATTTCACTTCTGGACACGAAGATTGTGCAGTTTTTCTAAAGGAAAAAACTTGGGACCTCTGGCATCGAGGAAAACAAAATCTGACAATTTAAGGGAGATGTCAAACAATGGGATAGGGCAATGGAAAGATCAGGGAAAGAGGAAACCGTATTGGCTAGGCTTAGGATAGGCCTCCCCCAGAATGCACAACTTGCGAAGTGATCATCAAGCATTCTGACATCATGTAGAAACCACGAAAACCTTAGAGTCAAATATAGGCTTGCGAATTTTTGGTTCCTGTTCTAACATCAGAATACTTACCGAAACTAGATTTTTTTTTGCCTTATGATCTTTGCATATTAGCCATGACGAATTCTTATATATGTTGTTCAAATTGGGGGTTATCGGGAAAAAACGGCCAGAGGCGACGGTGGGAATCGAACCCACGACCGCGGCGTGTGAGTCTCTCATGCTAACCACTCGGCTACCGCGATCCTCCTGAATTTAGATTGATAGATAAATTCTAACATACAGAGAGTAGGAGAGGGAAATGGCTATGAGTTCGGGGAGGTGAGAGTGGCTCTTGTCCTTATCTCCATTCTTTCATTACTTCATTCCGAAAAAAGCTTCCATAGCTGATAATCGAGTAAGTTTACAAAGCATCATAAACATATTAGCTGAAAATTGACTGATAACTTTGCCAAAAAAGCGGCCATTTTTAGAAAGGGTGGCAGACTTGCTCGCACTGACAGGTTTTCTAGCGAGTTACTCTTACTCCTCTTCTCTCCTTCCAATATTATTTGAAGCAGGTGTCGTCTACAGCTAAGGTAGGATTTAACAGAATTTAGGCTAGCTTAACGTTAAATTACAACATCCACCTGAAAACTGAACACAATATATTTAATTCTGTCTCTAAGTCTATGCTGCGCTATGCCAAGTTTGGGGATATCGACAGTATGACATAATTGAAAAAATTCTGAAATTTTTTGCTAAGAAGTCAACCTCCCCTCAAAGTCAACCACCAGCTATTTGTTGTATTTAGATACTATTGATGGAATCTAAACTGAGGCTTCACTTTAAATATGCCCTAAAAATTCTTAATATATCCAATTCCCGTCTTCCAAAAATTACTGCTTTGAGATTATATGGTTTTCCCACTGGCATACTGTATGTTCTAAATATTCTACCCCGCATAACTTAATTTTATCTCTGAGTGGGAATCTAACCTTGATTCTCTTCTTGCAAAGATCAGTGTACGTCACCGGGACGGTCTGTGAGGCTTGCCCTGACATCAACACAACTATTTATAGGAGTATCGATCATACAGTTTCCCACTGCCATTTATCGTATGACCCTAGTCAGCATCCCAATCTGGGTGATTTGCGGTGGATTTTTAAAATGAGGTGTGAGCTACTCTAGCTAAATACCCCATGGATGGAGAGGCATTCTGCCTTGTGCTTGTCATAGAGGACCTGTTCCGTTTATTAGCAGAGTGATCAATTTAAAAAAAATCGTATGCTCCGCCTAGTATGCAGTTCCCTGTCTAGAGATGAACTAATTAATAGGTTAAATTCTGACCCGACCTCACTAGTAAAATATTGCAGTTATGAATGGCAATACAGGTATATTTATGGTAAAGAACTAGACTCCATTACAGTTCGTGGTCCCATTGACCAATTAACATTTTTCAATTAATTAATATTTATGAAAGGTATTGATTAAGATAAAAAAGGCAGTGTCGAGAGTGGGATTCGAACTCACGACCTTCGGCTAAATACGCCGCTACTCTACTACTGGAGCTATCGTGACTTCGATCCGCTCCGACACTAACTTCCCATCTTAACCTCACCTCTTGAATTTTCCCTCATTTTTGCCATTTTTCAAATGTGTAATCTATTTGATTCTTGGCGACAAATGAAATGGCCACGGAGAGCTTTCGTGAAGATATACTTCAGTTTAATTATTAAATCCATTACAGTTCGTGGTCCCAATTGACCAATTAACATTTTTTCAATTAATTAATATTTATGAAAGGTATTGGTTAAGACAAAAAAGTCTGTGTCACGAACGGGATCCCGTTTACTGAGGTACAATTTGATTTTCATATTTTAATATTTGTTTTGTTTTATTTTTTTGGCTTTACTTTTAAATCTTTTATTTTTTCTCCTTCACCTCCGACATACGGAATTTTCCATTAATTATTTTTTATTATTGTATTGTAACAGATAACGTAGTATTATTAATAAAATTATAAAAAGCCGATTGCAGGATTATTGCAAAACTTAAATCTTAAACAAAATAAAATAAAATAAAAAAATAAAGATTCAACTTACGTCTCGTAAAAGATCTTTATGGGACTTGAAGGACTCTGGAAAAAGAAACAAAACACCAAATCAAAATTCATGATAGTTAAAAACAAAATAAGGATTAGGAAGACCTAGGGTTTTTTTTTCTATTTTTGGCGGGAGGGGGTCAAATATAGATTGTGATATTTCCTCCTGTGGTCAAATATAGATTCCAAACCATTCCTCCACTGCGACCTATATGTGTGTATTATGTCTATTGCGGAACCGCTGCAATTACACTGATGGGCAAATTTAACGCACTACGCAATTTATTTAGTTTAAAATTGAATCCATTATCTTTCTATATTAGCTACAGTTAATTATGAGCTATCGTAGTCAAAATAAACAGTAAATTATGCTTTGTTTACTTTTGTACTGATTAATCCCATTTTTACAAAAAGTAGTATTGTGCCCTTCCATTCTGCTTTGCCTAAAGGTCGCATTCAGTTACTCTTTTTCTTTCATTCATCTCATTTGATATTATACTTAAACCTTTTTCAATGACTCCGGTGAGGCATTTGAGTGTCAACGTCATAACATTATAGAGGAAGGATACAGCCAGTGCGAAGGCACCAGGAGACTGAGTATAAAACATTCGCAATTGAAGGATTCTTCTGCGCTTCAGAGAAACAGGGCTTCACTCTAAAAGGCCAGGACAGAACCTAGGCCTACAGATCACAGAGATGAGGAAGCATGCGTTATCAGGGTCTACGAAACCGCAGCATTACGGGAAATGAGATAAGAAATCTCATGAGTCAGTCCGAAATGTTTCGATTTCCTCCAGTACCGTAAGCAGAAGGCTCAATGAAACTAACCTCAGGAATTGAACATAGGAAGATTGGGGTCCAGTACTCTTTACATATGAGGTGAGAGTTCGCCTCAAATCTTCAGAATTTAATACGAGGACGAGCAGAAGAAATGCTGTATGGTTCTTCTGGTACCCTAACTTATCTTGGAGTGAAAATGACACCTGGCCTAAGATTTGGCGTAAACGCCCTGAGCTCAAAAGCTAGGGTGCCCACGAGGATCGCAGCTATCCGTTCCGTGGGTGGCGCCACTTGGGGAATCTCCTACAAAACTAGACAAATCTATTACACGGCGCTGTGCGAGCCTGTAATACTCTACGCGGCGCCGGCTTGGACTCGCGAATTGCGGGCAAACGATTGGGCGGTGCTCGAGCGTGCTCAGCGCGCAGCCCTGCTCGCGGTTACTCAGGCATATAGGACGGTCTCCACCGCGGCCCTACAAGTCGTCGCTGGCAGGCCGCCCATCGACCTAAAAGCGAAAGCGCTTTGTGCTCAATGGGAACTGAAGAATGGACGCCCACCGTGCATCCCAGTTACAAGCAAGGAAGAGGCAGAGGAATGGTTGGTAAGAGAGCGGCAGTTAAGATGGGATGATACATTCAAGGGACGCCACACCTACCAGCTCCTCCCAAAAATAGAAGACAGACTAAAAATGAAACATCCCGCCATCGACCATTAGATGTCTCAGCTCCTAACAGGACATGGAGACTTCGCCTCAAAGCTCCATGCCTTCCGACTGAAATCAAGCCAGATGTGTGAGTGTGGTGACGAAGAGACAGCAGAACACGTCGTACTGAGTTGCGATAAACACATTGTTCCCCGTGTACGCTGGCTTCAAGAGATAAATGAACAGCCACTATGGAGACCCTAAGAAGAGCAATCACCACTCGGGCGGGGTTCAACGCTACACAGCAGATGTGGAAAAGCGTTATGAGACAGAAAGGATGGCAGGCATAAATGAAAGACTATAATTAGAAATCAGATAAGCCTATACCTCCTCCACCTGAATATTCCGAGCGAGCCGCCTCCGCGAGGCCCATCCCGGACACAGTAGATAACTGTGACAAAGTGCTCGCTAGGTGGAGTAGAGATGCGACCGTCTAATAGACAAGACATAATAATAGCTTCCGTCTATAATCGAAAAGCTATATAGCAGCGCAAGCCAAGAAGCTGCAAAGAGCCAGATATAGCTTAGGAGCGGCAAAACACAAAAGGCACAGACGTGGCAGTCAGGGGTGGCATTTCCTTAGGCGACTGCACCGAATTGGTTGTTGTGCGAGGAAGATCTCTAACTTCACAGAGGTACTTTATATAACATAATCGAAGAGTATGGTGTCATTTGTCCCCCTCTCACATCGTTGAGAGATTCTTGCTAATGCAGGGTAATCCCAGGCCTCATATAGCACATATTGTGGATGACTATCTGAATCAGGTTGGAACTGCTTGGTGTGGCCAGCTCGAAGACCAGATTCGAACTCGTTTGGAACCAACTTAAGCATATAATGCCATGTGCCCTCCAGATCGGTGAGAGATTCTTGCTAATGGAGGATAATGCAGGCCCCATAGAGCATTGCGGATGACTACCTGAATGAGGAATTGAGTAGTGTGGCCAGCTCGAAGTTCAGATTTGAACCTAATCCAACACTTTTGGGACCAACTTAAGCGACGAGTACGACCCTGAAACCCAGGTCATAACACCCCAGAAGAGTTGATAAATTGGCAAGAATTCTTCAGGATTTTACTAGAAATCTTTTCCAAGGAGTGCAAAGGCGTTAAACGGACGTCATTCTGCCAGAGATGAAAATACTCGGTATTAAAAGGAAAAAAATTTCTTTAAATATTTTTATTTGTTTCACTTTTTTTTTCTCAATAATTATTTATTTTTAGAATTAGGTAATAAACATTTTCTTTTTAAATGTTTCATTTTTACAACCAAACCTATTTCTGGTATGCAAAATATGAATAAACCTAAATACATTAAAATTTAAGGGCAGTGCGTTAATTTTGTCCATCAGTGTATAACAATAATTTGGAAAGTGCACTTTTCCCGTAATATTAAGTACTTTCCTAGATGACCCTTCGCGTACCTCTTTGTTTTTATGAAGGACTTCGTAGGTGGAGATACTTGCAACAGGACAAGAAAAGTCACAAGCAATATGGTAACCTAAGGAGCCTCTGGCAAGGCTATGGCGGTTGATTAACAACCTGAAAATGGCCAGTGATAAAAAACAGAGGAGCCCAAAAGGTCTACTCAGGACGAGGTACAGAAGGCCTTGTGGCCACCTCTTTTATCCCTATCCATTAGCAAAAATACGTACTATTATTTCGATACTTGCTATAAAAAATATTTTCATTAAATATCGTTACTATCGAATATCAATTCATCAAAAAGTTGATAATGGTTATCTGAAATTCGATATCTACAGATCAAAATGTTTGCTAGTTTTGTCGATAACAGATATTACAAAATCGCTACAAACTATATTAATATAGCAATATTAGATATGTACATAATATGACATAACCATTCCTAACTATATCGATGTATTTATAATACATACATCAAATGATCGATAACTCGTATTCTATGCACGTCTGACGTCCGTATATGGAAGAGCAATGACGGTTAGATCTAAGACTGTCGGTATGCCATACGAGGGCGATACGATAGTTTAGGAATGGCCCTTCCGGCCGGGACGTTCCTTGCAAACAGAAAATAATAAAAAAAAAGTAAAAATTTCTTGTTTGTTGCGCCCCGCGTGGAATTTGTTGACAATTGATGTGACGTGAAGTGGGCGTTCGCCTGGCAAGGTTTTCGAATAAACGCCTCCTCGAAAATATAATATTAGAAGCCGTTTTTCACTTCCGCGGTCAACGGTACTCGAATTTAGACGTCCTCGATTCTTCCAGCATGTAAAATCTCGATAAATAAATTTGAACCACTCACCAGTGTTGGCCTGAGTCCTGAGCCGGGAAGCTCTCGTGCTTCTGATCGGCGAGGGGAGCTGCTGCAGCTGCTGTTGTTGCTGGAGCTGCTGCAGCTGCTGTTGTTGCTGCAGCTGCTGTTGCTGTTGCTGCTGGTGGTCGCGGGGCCCGAACTGAGCGGCGAGCTGACGCCTCCGCTCCTCTTTGTACCTCGCAATCCTCTCTTCACGACCATCGCTGGAAAATCGAGAATTGTTTAGAAACATTGAAACGACACATTTAATGTTGTTTGTTAATTTACAGAAATCTTAATATCGGGATCGATTCTAACGAGAAAAATCTACCTTTTATATTTTTATTAAGTGACTCAAGTTATTTCAGTTAAACATAGTTAATATTTATGCAGCCACTGAGCTTTTAAGCTAGTTCATTATCTTTTTAAAACAATTTCACTGCACAAACAAGGATTAACGAGTCTAGACTTTTTACACAGTACGAATCTACCTTTCCACGTGATACATTTATTATAGGGCTTCTTGTTGAGAAATAGGGCATAATTACAGGGTTAAAAACCATTCTCTTGTTTTTCACAAGGGGTAGCAATACATTAATTATACTTAATAGGCCTGGAATTTTGATTTTGTATGAAATATTCGTTATTTTTCAGTCCAGAAAACGTTATACTACTAATTACTGATTAATGATTTGTATAAGCTCAAATTTGCACAAGCATGTACAATCATAGAATGTACAGAAGCGCGTATTACTTCTCGCAGACCACCGGGAATTCCAGTTGTTGTAATTTACAATAAATTACCGACAGGTCACGAGAATCACCCACCAAGGGTTTGGCAGTCCGGGGTCAGACCTAGGTCTTACCGACTAGTTTGTGCTCTGGGGGCTACCAACAGCTAAGTAATTTCATCCCCCAACGCAATCAGTTCTTTAAACTAAACCCATTTTTTTAGGGTAGTGAAGTACTCGAAATTCCTCAGTGACCCTTTGCACCAATTATATAATTGGAGTATTCATTATTGTATATCACGCTAATAAATACATTCACTATCAAAAACCACTAGGGACACAAAACTATCAGTGTTATGTACAATAGGACAACACTGTTTCGTCCGAAAACCTGAACTACTGGGAACCAAGAACTTGTCGGGTGGCTTTCCTACACACTCTCTATATGGAGCCAAGGAATTGCACCCTTCAACCAGATGGGACACGTCGAGCAACCTTTTCTCTACGGCGAACATTGGCCCATTATACCACTATTATAATTACTAAATATAATATTGTACATAGGACTAAAAACTACTTGGGCAGCTATAAAAATAATGAAACCAAGTGGCTTAGATGTTTAATAGATTGTCCAATGATATGACAAAATTAGCTAGTTTGAAGATTGTCACATTCACATTTTATTATGGCTGTGTTGAGAAATTGTAAACATGAAGTGAGCGTTTCTGAGATAGTTAATATCAAAGTGGTCATGGCTAAATTGGTTGAATTAATCCATCAGTTACAAACTCTCTGGATCAAGGTATAGTCTTGAAAAAGAAGCAAGCAAATTTAGTTGTTAATGCCAAGCTTTCGACCTACTTTAAGGTCATCATCAGGACAAACCACCTTAAATATGTCTTCAGCTTGACATATTTAAGTTTTTTTACAGTCTTAGCAATGTTGTGACTGAATCGGTCTTCAAGGAAATTCGAGATCGCCTGTAAAAAAAACTTAAATATGTCAAGCTGTAGACATATTTAAGGTTGTTTTGCCCAGATGATGATCTTAAAATATGTCGAAGGCTTGACATTACCAACTAAATTTGCTTTCTTCTTCAAGACCATAATCCAAGTGTTCTTAAGTGATAAAAATGGTCGATACTTCTAATACATAATCGATCAACGCCGTCAAAGTAAACGTGGCTACGTGCAGTTGGTCAGGTATGCAGTGTTAGGCTAAAATGACGGGTAAAGCAAGCTGATGTAAAAGTAAAAACACCAAAAAGGACGACATAAAATCAACCTCATTTCGTTTTCATTAAACCAACTGGTTTAGGTACTCCTATTATGAGTTCTTCATAAACTGTATAATCAGTGGTGACAAACTTGACGTCATTGGACAACTGACCAGATATTGAGCAAGAAGCAACATGCTTAGCCAAGTCCACTGTAACGTCAATAGACAATTGGTCAACATAACAGTATGGAATCCATGATCTAGTAATCTTACTTTCGAAGCTTTTGGCAAATGTAACCACGTCTTTTGACGTTATAAGACGATCGGAAAATCAGATCTGCCATTTGTACTTAGGTGTCTCTAGGCAATTGACCGAACGAATTATTCTGTCATTGGACACCTGACTGGTTTACTTGTGGATCAAGTAAAAATAATATAAACAAATTCACTAGTTTTCGTGGTCCGCTTGACCAATTAATATATTGCAATTAATTAAGGTTTTTGCTGAGATAAAAAAAGGCAGTGTCACGAGCGGGATTCGAACCCAGGACCTTCGGTTTGATACCCCGCTGCTCTACCACTTGAGCTATCGTGACCTCGATCCACTCGGACACCAACTTCCCATCTCAACCCCACCTTTGAATTTTCCCACCTTTTTGCCATTTTTCAAATATGTAATCTATTTGATTCTGGGCACAACATATTAAATTCACTAGTTTTCATGGTCTGCTTGACCAATTAATATCTCACAGTGGTAGAGTAGCGGTGTATCTATCCAGCCGAAGGTCGTGGGTTCGAATCCCGCTCGTGACACTGACTTTTTTATCTCAGCTAAAAACCTTAATTATTCAGAAATCGTGAGATGCGGTCTGGTGTGATGTAGGTTTCAGAAAAACATTTACTTTATCGTGCCAACGTTTCGATCTTTATTGAGATCATCTTCAGGGCTCAAAGTGTTGAGAGAGGGGCACTCTCAACACGACACGCAAAAATGGCACAATTGCACAGAAGACAAACACTTTGAGCCCTGAAGATGATCTCAATAAAGATCGAAACGTTGGCATGGTAAAGAAAATGTTTTTCTGAAACCTACATCACACCAGATCGCATCTCACGATTTCTGAATAATTATCGATTAACGGTCACTAATCACCACACATAAAAACCTTAATTAATTGTAATGTAAACAAGTTTGGACTCCCTTCAAGCAAATTATTGAGATTTTAAACTAAAAACGTGATGAAAAGAACCAAGCTAATAATTCAGTAAGAAAGTAGAAAATTAAAATTAAAAAAATTACCTCATATTGTTTGCCGCGACCATTCCAGTACGGTCGCATCTCCCGACGCACTCTTCTAGAAAAAATAAATATATTAAAATAATGGCTATGATAATAACATAAATATAAATATTTTTCGGAATAAATCCAATTTACAAAAATGTTTAATTATAGAAAATCTAAGAATATATAAAATATAATGATAGATAAAGAAAAACTAAGAAAACAGGAAATTTCAACATTATTAAAAGTTCACTATTTTTCGTGGTCCGCTTGACCAATTAATAACATTCAATTAATTAAGGTTTTATGTTAAGATAAAAAAAGTCAGTGTCACGAGCGGGATTCGAACCCACGACCTTCGGCTTGATACGCCGCTACACAACCACTTGAGCTATCGTGACCTCTCGAGGTTGTAGAGAAGCGGCGTATCAAGCCGAAGGTCGTGGGTTCGAATCCCGCTCGTGACACTGCCTTTTTTTCTCAACTTAAAACCCTAATTAATTGAATATTATTAAAAATTTGGGAAAAATAGAATTAAATGTATAGTTAAATCAATATAAGATATATAATATATTATAAGGGAAGGAGAAAATAATTTCCTAACAAAAATATGTTGATTAAGTCAGTAAAAATAATAAACCATACAATTTTTGTGATATAATACACTGATGGACAAAATAAATGCACCATTCTTAAATTTTAATGCCTTTAGGTGTAGTCATATTTCGCACATCAAAAATAGGTTGGATTGTAAAAATAAGCCATTTAAAAAGAAATTATTTATGACCTAATTCTAAAACAAATTATTGAGTAAGAACAAAAAATTAAAAAACAAATAAAACAAAAACTTTTTTGCCCCCTTTAATACCGAGTATTTCCACCCTGGCACGAAACACTTCCGTTAAACGCCTTTACATTCCTTGGTAAAGATTTCTGATAAAATCCTGAGGAATTCTTGCCAATTTATCAAGAACTCTTCTGGGTTGTTAGGATCTGGGTTTCAGGGTCGTACTCGTCGCTTAAGTTGGTCCCAAAAGTGTTGGATTAGGTTCAAATCTGAACTTCGAGCTGGCCACACCACTCAATTCCTCATTCAGGTAGTCATCCGCAATGCTCTATGGGGCCTGCATTATCCTCCATTAGCAAGAATCTCTCACCGATCTGGAGGGCACATGGCACTATATGCTCTTCGTGTCTTACCTAAAGTACCTCGGTGAAGTTAGAGATCTTCCTCTCACAACGACCGATTCAGTCAGAGGCGTCCAAGGAAATGCTACTCCAGAGTATAAATGACCCACCGTAGTGGCAACCAGAAGAACCATACAGCTTGGGGCGTACCTTTCTTTCGATCGTCCCCATATCAAATTACGCCTATCTAAAGATTTTGTGGCAAACTCTCACCTCATATGTAAAGAGAACAATCCCCAATGTACAATTCCTGAGGTTACTTTCATTAAGACCCTGATGACGGATGGTTCATCTCTCTGATCTGCATGCCTAGGTCCTGTCCTGACCTACTAGAGTATTTCTTTGAAACCCCAAAGAACCGTTCTATTGCAAAATGATTTACACTCAGTCTCCTGGCGCCATTGCACTGGCTGTATCCTTCCTCAATAATATTATGACCCTGACTCTGTCATGCCCATGGGAATGCCTTATGGGATTCATTGGAGAAGGTTTAAGAATAAGAATAATATCAAATGAGATGATTGAAGGAAAAAGTTTAACTAAAAGCGAACGTTAACCATATCAGAATGGAAGGGCACAATGCTACTTTCAATGTTAAACTCTCAACGATGGGGGAGGGGGCAAACGGCACTATATTCTTCGGTACCTCTGTGAAGTTAGAGGTCTCCTTTCATCGCACTACAACCAATTCTGTGCAGGCGTCCAAGGAAATACTCTCCAGAGCATCAATGACCCACCATGTAATGCAACCAGAAGAACCATACAGCATGGAGTGTACCTTTCTTCTGATCGTCCCGGTATGAAATTACGCCTATCTAAAAATTTGAGGCCAACTCTCACCTCTTATGTGAAGAGAATTGGGCCCCAATCTTCCAATGTCCAATTCCTGAGGTTATTTTTATTAACCCTTCTTCTTACGGTCCTGGAGGAAATCGAAACATTTCAGACTTGACTTATGAGATTTTTTATCTCATTTCCCTTAATGCTGCGGTTTCGTAGACCCTAATCAAGGATAAGTCATCATCTCTCTGATCTGTACGCCTAAGTCCTGTCCTTGCCTTCTAGAGGGAAACCCTGTTTCTCTGAAGCAGCGAAAAATGTTTTAAACTCAGTCCCGGCGACATCGCAATGGCTGTATACTTCCTCTAATAATATTATGACCCTGACTCTGTAATACCCACAGAAATGCCTCACTGGAGTCATAGCAAAAGTTTGAAGAATAAGAATAATAACAAATGAGATGAATGAAAGAAAAAGAGTAACTGAAAGCGACCTGTAGGCGTAGCAGGATGGAAGGGCTTAATGCTACTTTTTGTGCAAATTGGGATTAATCAGTACAAATGTAAACATAGCATTATCTACTGTTTCTTTTGACTACGATAGTTCCTAATTACCTGTAACTAATATAGAAATATAATTAATTTAATTTTAAAGTAAATAAATTGAGTAGTGCGTTAAATCTGGCCATCAGTGTATATATATAAAAATGAAATCAACGACATGACAAAATTATTGATCACTGAGACAGAAGTTATTAATTAATAGAGAGAATTTGTTTAACAAAATTACGAAATGATACTAAAAAATTTACTTAAGGTAATTTATTGACAATATACATTATTTTACCAAAAGGAGTATTTTGCCCATATTTAGTCGAATGATATTCAATTTAAAAAAAAGTTTGAATTAGAAACAACATAAAGTTAAAATAAGTAAATATAGACATACTATACATACATACACACGCACGCGTGCGCGTGTGTGTGTGAGTGTGTGAGGGAGAGAGAGGGAGAGAAGTTAGTGAAAAATATAGATTGTGTACGAGAATAAGGTCAGAGATAGAGGGAGAGCAGGAAGAGAAATAAAGAAAGATATACAGATTAGAGAGAGAGAGAGAGAGAGAGAGAGAGAGAGTGAGAGAGAGAGAGAGAGAGAGAGAGAGAGAGGGTGGGAGAGAGAAGTAAGAGATGAAATATAGATGGAGCAAGAGAGAGGGAGAGAGTGAGAGAGAAGTTAGTGAAAAATATAGATTGTGTATGAGAATAAGGTCAGAGAGAGGGGGAGAGCAGGAAGAGAAATAAAGAAAGAGATACAGATTAGATAGATAAACAGATAGAGAGAGAGAGTGAGGAGCGAGATAAAGGGGAGAGAAAAAGAGAGGGAGAGAGAAAGAGTGAGAAAGAGAGAGAGAGAAAGAGAGAAGAGATGAAATATAGAAGGAGAGAGAGAGAGAAGTAAGAGATGAAATATAGAAGGAGCAAGAGAGAGAGAAAGAGAGAGGGGGAGGGAGAAAGAGAGAGAGAGAAAGAGAGGGAGAAAGAGAGAATAAATTATAATAGGAGTGGACTATTTTTTAATCCGGCCCGGATGACCAAACTATTTGTTATTAATAAATTAATATGTAGGTTGATAGCTGAAAAATAAAAAGTATAAATAATTTGGTAGTGGGATATAATTTTTCAAAGAGAGAGAGAGAGAGAGAGAGAGAGAGTGATTTAAGTTAAAATATACATAATAATTCAAGATTTCACTTGTCTGCAAACTTGGTTGTAGAATGTAGAACGAGACCAGTTAAAAATAGGAAGATGTGGAAGTTTATTGACAGAAAACATAATTCTGTCAATAGGAGTATTCTTACTATAGACAGAGAATATTAGGCAATATGAAAGAGTCTATTATGCCTGGTCATGTACCTCGGTACAGATAATGTGGGTAAATGCAAATTTGTTTTTTTTATTTTGGAGCAGCGATACTATACAGCGGACGGAATTTTCATTTTAACGCTAGTATTACCGGTTTCAACCCGCAATTTGATCGTTAATCTTATATGGCTCACGGCAGCCAGCGAGGCCGAGCGGACCGTCGACACGTCCGTCTACGTACCGAACAATCTGACCAGGGCGGTGATGTCGAAGATCTTTGCAGCCATTTTATCTTCACTCCTCCTTTGTACTTTCCACCAGTGATTTCGTTCTTCCGACACCTAAAAAAACTACATTCTAAGACAACGACACAGCACTAAAATTTTCCTCGAAAGCGGTCGCCATGGAAATTGGTTTTGCAGACGAGATTTTTTTTTTGAAATTTTGAAAAGGGTCAAAATTCAACCGGCTCGGAAACCATGGCGACGGATCAAATGTTTATTTTTATTTAGAACTTTTTAAATTCAATTTACGATTAATTGTGAAGCAAATCGATTTCAAGACGTCAAGGATTAAGAGGTTGAGTATAGGTCAACGCTTTACAGCTGGAAGGTCTCATGGTACCAATCCTTCCCGAACTCACTTATATCGCTTTCTCAATGTTCAGGCTGAGAAACACCCCCGGTGACTTTCCCTTTCTCCAAGTGATGAATAACCATGTCCCAATTGAAAAAACAGCAACACCGAACGGATCCCAATCTATTCAATTCAACCGACATCTGTCCAAACATGGGACCATCCATGACGGTTGACATAAAACGTGCCTGTAAATAAATTCCAGTATACACACGGTCGCCTCTCGGAATTGGGTCGCAGTTAAGTAGAAGATTTGCGGGTATCAGAGCATAATGATGCAGGCCAAATCATCAGGGCCGTACGTGCGGAAATGAACCAGAGCATTCTTCTTCTTTTTTTCGTTTAAGGTTTTCTCCCTCTGATTCCGCATCGCTGATGAATAATTAAAGTTTCGCATATAAACTGGAACTTGTGTTGGCTGTATATATCGTGATCATTAAAAAAAAATATAGTCTGCCTTTCCTCGCTGATTTTATCTGCCGGGCAAGGTCCGCTTATCTCCTAATGATCTATATATCATATTGCCTCTACTACCTCTCTATATATCAATTGTTTTGTTCCTCTCTGACTGTATCTCTCGCTCTGCCTGTCTGTCTGTCTGTCTGTCTGTCTGTCTCTCTCTCTGTCTCTCTCTCTCTCTCTCTCTCTCTCTCTCTCTCTCTCTTTTTCTCTAATTATCTGTCCACCTATCTATGTATCTACTAACCATCTATATATTGTATCTATCTCTATCTTTCTATATACATATATTTATCTCTCCAGCAATCTAACAACACAAACCCACACACACCTCCCATTTCTAACATTCTTTTTGCCTGTACATAATCCTTCCCACTATGATCTAACTCTAACCAGCTAGGCTCCCAATGTCCAAAGTGTCTCAAAAGGGAAGGAACGATTCAAATACGGTGTCCTGTGCCAAGACAGGGGACGATGAGCATATAAATTCGAATTTAAAAGTATCCTTACGTATTTCTCAAAGGTATCCAGAAGGAAAACGTCGGATCTGACTTTTCTTCTCCTCGGAGGTCGGGGCGAGGCGCGCTCATCCCTAAAAATACACGGCCGGATTCCTCGGCGGCCTTCCAGTTTATGACTCAGTGGGACGGGGCCCTCGACCTCCTCCTCTTCTCCTTTTTCTCCTCTTCCTACTTTTTTTTCTTTCTTGACCCCCTTTTCTCGCCTCTTCCAGCCCTTCGATCACCTGTTGCACTTATCAGACCTGTTGCCGTACTCCTTAGAAAGATCACGCACACGGTGAAAGTAGAATTTTGTAATCCGACACACTCCACGGCCCCTCCCTGGGCGTTATCTGGATGGACCGGCATCTTGATCTTTTATTAAACATAACGGGCGCCTACATGCGGACCTCGGCTAAAGTCATCCTGATTTGCAGAAACTGTTGAATAACTGGTAAAACTGGAACACCGGGACGAAATTATCCCCACGGAATTTCTCCGGGCAGAAACGCGTCGGAATGTTGTAGTCAAGGACCGTAGAAGTCGCCCCAAGGGTAACACTTTGAAAAAGACAAAAACATATAAAGGAAAAAAAATAATACAAACTACCCAAATCGTTTTTTGCTTTGGCAGACCGTAAGATGTCAAATTTCTACCAACCAAACAGTGGTCTTGGCTATCTCGGTTGAACAAGCGTCCAATGTCATCAAAGTGGAAGTGACTAAATGTCTAATGTAATGATGTTAATGTGGTTTGGCGAAACTAGGGTAATGCAAGTTTAGGTAAGGAAAAAAGGAAGAAATATGAAGTCATCTCCAAATCACCGAATCCCTCCTCGTTGGCATTGGAACAACCCAACAGGTCAATTGCGATCATTAGTAAACCATTCAGCTTAGCCAAATTTTCTTCTCATTGGACATTGCCCAAGTTAATTAAATGTCATTGCACAATTTAGCAACCAAATAATGAAAGAAAACGAGAGAGCGTACATAGTATAAAATATTTCTATAGATAAAGGGTTAGAAATTTGGAGAGATAGAAAGACGTAGAGATCATAGTTAAATACAGAGTAAAGTATGAGAAAAACAGGGAGAAACGTACAGCATAAAATATACAGACAAGGAATGAGGGGTAGAAGAGTAGTCATTCTACGGAGAGAAGGTCAGAAAAAATTAACTGAGAGCACATCTGACGCGATTGTTCAATTTTTGCAGGCTATGTTCTATCTGTTGACTATTCCGTTCCTTTCAGCTCATTTGTCTTCCTAAACTGAATTTATTAATCCGCGATAGAAAAACATCTTTAAAAATCTTCGCCAGCTGCCAGTTTATTGATCGTTACGATTCAAAACAGCCTCAGGCCATCAATGATGATCAAAGGGGCTCGAAAAGAGATGGCCCATTGGCTCGAAGTGGTACGCGGTCATGTTCTTATTGTTCCCATGCGGGCGGGTCACGATTTCTACAAATTGTGGACAGCGGATGGAGATCCAAAGAAACGTTTGCCCATTTTCACCGGTATTGAAACCCCCGATTCATCCCTTAATCTTATTTTCGATGTAAAGCTCTTTTGAATCTGTAGTCGGATGTAGCACGATTTCCTTTTATAGCCAATACCTAACTTTACAAAGGTAGCTTTTAAATAAAACATTATATATAGAATGAATAAAGGCGATTAGAGCCAAGAAGGGCTAAGAAAAGAAGATCCAATTGATGTCTCAATACGACAAACCGTCCTGCTACTTTGCTACGCTGACCAATGACATCATGGGTATGAAGGGCAATGTAGTTGGTCATTTTTTCTGGGCTGTTTACCTTATGAAGCCAAAATGAACTTAACTACAATGAAAAAAAGATATTTTTTTTTAATTGTGCAGAAATATCAACTATGTCTACTATGGTTACTCTACATCTAATGACCATTGACGTCCCGAGGCGAATATCGTCTTGATGAGGTTTACCTACGTCCACCTTAACGCCATTAGAAAAAGCTTCAATAAGTTAACCCATTTTTATGACTAAAATTCATTTTTGACGTCAATTCAAAATCGTTTGTTCGGTGAAACTTTAGCCACGCCCATTTGTTGGCATCGACCTCAGTCTATTTTCATTAAACAATCAATTTGTTGTCATTATCAATTAACTATAGTATCGTTCAGATGGACTTTGCCCGACCACTCTTAGTCATTTCCACTTTGACGTTATTAATAATTTAATCAGTCGACTTTAATCTTCGCTCACTTTGATTTATGTGATGGCCAACAGATTTAACCACGCCTACGTTTTTACTTGAACATTTAGTTTCCAACTTAGCCACGCCCCATTTGACAAATTACTGATATACACTGAGAGGCAAAAAAAAGTGGTATTAATATTTATAATTATCTGTGTCTGAAAGGTGGTTCTATCGGTACCAACATACTGGAGGTTATTCAAGAAGGCATGGATAGGAGATGATCGTTTCACCGATTCGAATGTACTCCGTAATCTACATTCTGCAACTGTTGAGGTCAAGCGGCAGCTTCAACAAGTTAGAAACGTTAATGTCAGTTTACGCAAAGGTGGCCCCAGGCATGCGGTATTCGATTCCGAACATTTGCCAAGTGTCTAGATGCACGTGTTTGCATTCGCCAAATAGTCAAGTATACACACATGCGAGGTTCGTACGTCCACCCAGTGCGGAAACAGGGAATACATATCTGCCAAGTGCCGTGAGAGTCCTCAACTTACTGTGTACAATCATGATGGACAACAGTGAAACTGTCATTGTGTCATTGCTGCAGCTGGGACTGTTTCGTGTAGTGGCTACATTCAGTCACAGAGTACTGTTGCCCCATTATACTTTCGATCCGTTTCCACGCATCGAAAAACTTGTTTCGATTTTTGCGATTTGGAAGAGGAGCGTTACAAAGCCCCTAATCGACGATTTATACATGCTACGCAAGGCCCTACACAGCTAGGATCGTTGGTGACTACTTAGAACGGACTTCAATTTAATGTTTGGACAGGACGTAGTCCCGACTTAAACCCTATCGAACACCTTTGGGACAAGTTGTAAAGGGGGTAAAAACCACCGAAAGGTCCTCCATAGCTACCAAGATACCGGAGGTTACTCAAGAAGGCATGGATCAGGTCTCCTTCATGTCACATCTCAGACAGACGATCGTTTTATTGTTTCGAATGTACTCCATAATCGACATTCTACCCCTGTTGAGATCAAGTTCAAGACTTCAAAAAAAGCCAGTTTATGCACTGTAAGGTGAAGACATTCAGAAGCTGGATGACGTGCGAAAAGGTTCAGCACTTATGACAAAGCACAGAACAATTCGGTTAAGTTTCGCAAGAAAGCGCATCAATTGGTCTGAGCAAGATTGGACTGAAATCTTGTTTTGTGATGAGTCAAGGTTTTTGTTCGAGGTCTTCGACGGCCGAGAGATGGTTTGGAGAAGAACAGGAAAGCGATATATCCCCGCAACATTTTCACTCCGGAGAAGCTATGTAAGTGGTAGTGTTATGGTTTGGACAGGAATTCTAAGGAAGGTCTACCAACTTGATCTTCATCAAGGGTTCCCTAACAGCTGCGCGATAAATTGAAGAAAGGTTATCGCAAGAAGTCTTGCCACAACTTGGCCGACGATTTTTTTTATGCAAGGCCCCGTACAGCTAGTATCGTTTAGTAGTTTAGTATTTACTAAAAAAACTAAGGTGGTCACGTTTTGGCCTCAGTTTATTTATTTACCACCCTTCAGACATCTATAGGCCTTTAACTTGCCAACCTTAGTTTCGATCTTTTGGATCTATTTGATCTGTTAACCATAAGATTTA